GGAGACTTACAATGCGTTAAGCAATATGACTTATAAGAATGACTTGGAAGATGGCCAATGAGTGCAGGGGAGTGGGGAACGGAAAGGGAGGGTTTTGGGTCTGGAAGTCAGTGTTGGTTTCTATGGAGTCGGATCTAGAATGTCGTGCTTAATAAATAGGAGTTTTTCTTCAAAGACTTTGTTTGAAATGCAATTTATTTGAGACGACCTCGAAACCTGACACCTGGCTTGTTTCGGCAGCCAGGGAGGTGACCGGAGACTGGATCCAGGCTGTTGTCAACGCTTCGCTGAGGGAGGGGGTCTTCCCCGCTGCACTCAAAGAGGCGGTGGTTCGCCCTCTCCTCAAGAAGCCCAACCTGGACCCTGACTCCCTTAATAACTACCGTCCAGTCTCCAACCTCCGCTTTTTAGCGAAGGTTGTTGAGTCCGTGGCGGCACTGCAATTCCCTCAATTCCTGGAGGAAACTGACTACCTGGATCCTTACCAATCTGGTTTCAGGCGCGGTCACAGCACGGAAACGGCATTGGTCGCCCTAGTGAATGACCTCTGGTGGGCCCGTATGGGGGTTGTTCCTCCATCCTGGTCCTTCTTGACCTCTCAGCGGCTTTCGATACCATCGACCGTGGTATCCTACTGCAGCGACTCAGGAGGTTGGGGATAGGAGGTTCTGTTCTGCAGTGGTTCTCCTCCTATCTCTCGAGCCGCTTGCAACTTGTATCAGCGGGGGGTCAGAGATCCTCCCAGAGGCCCCTCACTTGTGGGGGGTCACCGTCCCGTGCGCTCCAACAGAGCAGGCCGCCTCAGGGTGCCGTCGGCCAAACAGTGTCGACTGGCGGCCCCCAGGGGGAGAGCATTCTCTGTCGGAGCGCCGACTCTCTGGAATGATTTGCCCCCCAAGCTCAGAATAGCTCTGGACCTCCTCTTTTTTCGCCGCGAACTGAAGACGTGGATCTTCCGTCAAATAACTTGATCTGCTAGGGGTTGCACAAACTGTAATAATTTTAAATATGGTTTTTAAGGGTTTTTTGTAACTTATTTTGTTATTTTGTGATTTGTATTATTGATTGTTGCTGTAAACCGCCCTGAGTCCTTCAGGAGAATGGCGGCATATTTATTTATTTATTTATTTATTTATTTATTTATTTATTTATTTATTCATTCATTCATTCATTCATTCATTCATTCATTCATTCATTCATTCAATTTCTATACCGCCCTTCTCCCGAAGGACTCAGGGAAAAATAAAATAAAATAAAATAAATAAATAAGAGACCAGCCAGCCACTTGTCTGAAATGATATTAGGTCTCTTGCTTAAGCAGAAGACTCCCGAAGTCCTTTCCAGCTTCTCTTTTGTGTCTATTGTCTGTCTGCCTGTCTGTCTGCTATCTAAGCATATCGTATCTATCATCTAATCATTTAGATAGTACATACTTATAATAAATAAATAAATGAAACCATAGCAAACAGTGGCTTTACTTAATGACCGCAGCATTCATTTTACAACTGCCACGTTCGCTTTATGACCACTGCATGTCATAAAATCAGGTTTATGACTGTCACAACATATGACCATTAATAGGCAGGATCCCTTACGTGGACGTGAATTTCTCTGTCGCTGCGGGAAGAGTCCATGGGTTAACTCTGTCTTTCTGGAATAGACTGAGTAATTTTTGGAAGCCCTTAAGTAAAGAGCCTCGGTGGTGCAGCGGACTAAGTGCTGTTAAGTGCTAGCACTTAGCTGCCAGCTGCCTGCAATTAGTGCGAGTTCAAATCTCACCAGGCTCAAGGTTGACTCAGCCTTCCATCCTTCCGAGGTAGGTAAAATGAGGACCCGGATTGTGGGGGCAATAAGCTGGCTTTGTATAAAACATCACCGCTTGGGGGGGCCGAAAGCCCGAATAAGCAGGTATATACATAAAAGTATGCAGGCTATTGCTATAATGCATTGTAAGCCGCCCTGAGTCTACGCAGAACGGTGGCATATAAATTGGACTAATAAATAAATAAATAAATAAATAAATAAATAAATAAATAAATAAATAAATAAATAAATAAATAAATAAATAAATAAATAAAATCTCTCTGTTTTCAATTCTGGAAAAAAAAGAAACAAAAACACATGAAAAGTCTGCAAATCCTCATTTTTATTTTTATCTTTATTTATTCCTTTTCTGTGGGCCGCACAGTTCAACCGAGCAATTCCACGCAGCTCAGGTAAGGTTGGTTAAACTGTTCTGCATCTTAAAACCTGCACCAATTTGTTTCTCTCACACTGCAATCCTCACACTCACACATACACACAACACACACACCCTGCAAAGACCCACAAGGGAGGCTGATGTAACTTCACAAGAGTTTAAAAGAATAATAATAGCAGGCATCACACGTAACTGCTGTGAAGAATATCAGAAGCTAGACTCAAGGGAGCCCTTGATTTAAGAGCACCACTGAGGCCAAATTTCCATTGCTAAGCGAGACAATTGAGTTTTGCCCCATTTTATGACCTTTCTTGTCCCAGTTGTTAAGTGAATTATGGCGGTTGTTCAGTTAGTAACATGGTTGTTAAGTGAATCTGGCTTCCCCATTGACTTTGCTTGTCAGGAGTCACAAGAGGAATTCATGTGACTCCAGGACTCTGGGACCGTCATAAATATGACTCAGTTGTCAAGCGTCCGAATTTGGATTACATGGCCATGGAATTGCTACAAGGGTCATAAGTATGAAAAACGGTCATAACTCACTTTTTTTCAGTGCCAAGGAAATTTGGACAGTCACTGAACGAACTGTTGTAAGTGGAGGATTACCTATAAATCTTCCTTTATGTCTTTTTCCTACTTTTTCCTTACTGCACTTTTCACTTTTCCTGTTGTTTTTCTTTTTCTTCCTGTTTTCACAGTTCTATTTTAGTTTATATTCATTCCTGTTACTGTCCTTCTAACGCTTCATAAATATTATACATATTAAAAAAAAGAACTTCCATGCCAAACACAGAACCCCTTTCTTTGTTATTTCTTTCCCCGCTGTTTTCTCTGTTCTGTTTTAGTTCTTATTGTTTAATTCAATTAAACAATAGTTTAATTCCTATTGTTCTTGAAATGTTTAATAAAAATTATAGATATATATTTAAAAACAGGACATCCAGGTGAAATCACAGAGTTCTTATACATACAACTGTTTTTCTAATTCTCTTTTTTCCTTGTTTCCTCTGTTCTATTTTAGTTTATATTCATTCTTCTCATTGTTCCTAAAATATTTAAAATATTAATTAAATTAAATATTTTAATTAAATATTAAAAAAGCAAATTCCAGTGCTCTTGTTCATAAAAGCTTTTTCTATTATTTCTCTTTTCCCTTGTTTTTTTTTTTGTTCCTCTGTTCTGTTTAGAACACAGCAATCTTGAAATAAATACACTCAAAACCGTAGAAATGGTGGTGGATTTTAGAAGAAACCCTCCCATACTTCCACCTCTCACAATACTAGACAACACAGCATCAACTGAAGAGTCCTTCAATTTTCTAGGTTCTACCATATCTCAAGACCTAAAATGGACACCCAACATCAAAAACGTCATCAAAAAAGCACAACAAAGAATGTTCTTTCAGCGCCAACTCAGAAAGCTCAAACTGCCCATACAGGAGCTGCTGATCCAGTTCTACAGAGGAATTATTGAGTCTTCATCTGCACCTCTATAACTCTCTGGTTTGGCTCTGCAACCCAACAAGACAGACACAGACTTCAGAGGATCGTTAGAACTGCAGAAAAAACAATGGCTACCCACCTGCCTTCCATGGAGGACCCGTATCCTGCACGAGTCAAAAAGAGAGCTGTGAAAATATCTACAGACCCCTCACATCCTGGACATAAACAAATTCTATTCTATTCTATTCTATTCTATTCTATTCTATTCTATTCTATTCTATTCTATTCTATTCTATTCTATTCTATTCTATATTTCTGTCTATCTGTCTGTCTGTCTGTCTGTCTATCTATCTATCATCTATCTATCTCTATCTATCTATCTATTTATCATCTATCTATCTATCTAATCTTTCTTTTTATGCACACTGAGAGCATATGCACAAAGACAAATTCCTTGTGTGTCCAATCATACTTGGTCAATAAAGAATTCTATTCTATTCTATTCTATTCTATTCTATTCTATTCTATTCTATTCTCCATTTCTATCTATCTATCTATCTATCTATCATCTATCCTATCTATCTATCTATCTATCTATCTATCTATCTATCTATCTATTATCTATCTTTTCTTTTTATGCACACTGAGAGCATATGCACAAAGACAAATTCCTTGTGTGTCCAATCACACTTGGCCAATAAAGAATTCTATTCTATTCTATTCTATTCTATTCTATTCTATTCTATTCTATTCTCTGTTCTATTCTAATTCAACTCCTACCCTCAAAACAACGCTATAGAGCACTGCACACCAGAACAACTAGACACAGGACAGTTTTTCCCCGAACACCATCACTCTGCTAATTCCCACAACACTGTCAAATTAACTTGGCCAATAAAGAATTCCATTCCATTCCATTCCGTCTATTCTAATTATTTCAAATTCTATTCTATTCTATTCTGCATTTTATTCTATCCTGTTCTGCATTCTATTACATATATATATGTAATATTTCTTTATCAGCAAAATATAAATTTGATATAAATATATATATATATAAACATATTTTATGTGTATATATATAATACACATTTTAAGAATGATAAGAATGAATATAAACTAAAATAGAACAGAGGAAACATATATCTATATGTTTTCTCAGGTTTTCGCGGGTGTTTGTATGTAGGTCTTTGGTTATTCGGGTCTTCTCCCACGTAAAATTGGAAGTGTCTTGGCGACGTTTCGACGAAGTCTCATTCACATCTTCAGGCTGGTGTTCTCGGCTTCGTGCTCCTGGAAGCACGAAGCCGAGAACACCAGCCTGAAGATGACGAATGAGACTTCGTCGAAACGTCGCCAAGACACTTCCAATTTTACGTGGGAGAAGACCCGAATAACCAAAGACCTACATATATATATATATAAACAAGGCTCACTCTCCCCCCTCATATTTTTTAATACAAATTTGCATATATTAAAAAAGCGACATCCAGGCCAAACACAGAGTCCTTCTTCCTACAAGATTTCAGCCCAGACCAGCCATTGAATCCCTGAGAGAAGAGGCTGAATCTCGAGGGAGGGCTCCCGTGGTCAGGACTTCTCTTCCAGGTCAGCGGTGACATCCGGAGCAGGGCAAGAGGAAGAGAGCTGCTGCAGGATCTGGATGATCTTCTTGGGCGTCTTTGGAGGGCAGGTCCGAGAGCCCTGGAGATACCGCTGGGCGTGAAAGCAGAGATTGCGGGCAAACACTGGTTCCACCTAGAGAGCAAGTATTAAAGGGAGAGGGGACATTTGTCAAGAGTATGCACAGGTCTATCACATGTATCAAACCAGGAGCAAGCCAACAGTCAACAGTGGTTTGTATCAAATAGTGGTTTTTATCTACCATAGGAATATAGGAATACTATACATACACATGCTACCAGCAATATCTAAATAAACAGCAATTACAGCAGGGAAGAAACTCGACAAACCAACCAACGTTCTAGCAGGGCCTCTTATTATTACAGAGGCTCTTAATGGGATAACAGCCAAAAACCCTTCATTGCATCAGCTGGTCAGCTCTCAAATTATCACCTTGACAACATTCCAGATGTTGTCTGGAAGATGACCAGGGGAGCCTCTCTAGAAAGCATGGTTATGGAGGAGAAGGAATTGAGAATGTTGACTAGGAATGAAGTTATCTAAGAAGACATCTAGCAGGGGGAAATAGACATATCTCAAGGTTACATAGCTATGGAGTCCAAGAGGGACCTGGGAGTCTTAGTGGACAACCAGTTCAATATGAGCCAGCAGTGTCCGGCGGTAGCCAAAAAAGCCAATGCAATCCTAAATTGCATTAACAGAGGGATACAATCAAGATCAAGGGAGGTACTAAGACTGCTCTATAAAAGCGTAGTAGGACCACACCTAGAATACTGCATCCAGTTTTGGTCACCACACTACAAAAAAGATGTGGAGACTCTAGAAAGAGTGCAGAGAAGAGCAACCAAGATGATGAGGGGACTGGAGGCTAAAACATACGATGAACGGTTGCAGGAACTGGGTATGTCTAGTTTAATGAAAAGAAGGACCAGGGGAGACAGGAGAGCATCTTCCAATATTTGAGGGGCTACCCCAGAGAGGAGGAAGGGGGTCAACCTGTTTTCCAAAGCACCCAAAGACCAGACAAGGAATAATGGATGGAAACCGAACAAGGAGAGATTCAACCTGGAAATAAGGAGAAATTTTCTGACATTGAGAACAATCCACTGATGGAACTGAAGTTGCCTTCAGAAGTTGTGGGAGCTTCATCACTGGAGGCTTTCAAGAAGAGACCGGACTGGCATCTGTCAGAAATGGTGTAGGGTCTCCTGCTTGGGCGGGGGGTTGGACTAGATGACCTATAAGGTCCCTTCCAACTCTGTTAATCTGTTAGGTGCTCTCTGAGTTTGGTTGGTTGTTTCCAGAAGTTTCTGCAAAGAGGAAGAGATCTCCAAGGATATGCACGTTGTATGGTCTTCCTGGTGTTTCCTAGAAAAACACTTTCTGGAGACCTCCGTGCAACCAGAGCTCTTCTATTGATGTTGCAATGGCCCTCATCCCTGGCCAAAATTCCACATTGGATGAAACAATAAGGTAGTCCTCAACTTATGACCACAATTGAGCCAAAAACTTTGGCTAAGTGAGACACTTGCCACAGTTCTTAAGTGAATCACTGCAATCATAACACGGTTGTTAAGGAGATCATGTGACCCCGGGACACTGCGACCGTCATAAATTTGAACCAGTTGCCAAGCATCCGAGCTTTTATCACATGATGTGGTGCAACTGTTGTGTGAAAAATGGTCGTGAAGTCACTTTTTTCAGGCCATTGTAACTTTGAATGGTCACTAAGTGAGTTGTTGTAAGTCGAGGACTACCTGAGGTATGACAACGTATGACCGCAATGGAACCTACCGCATTGGTTGTTTGTTGTTACAGTTGTAAATTGGGTCATCCACGTGACCGACTCTATTTTACAACCTTTTTTTTTATGGTCGTTAAGTGAATCACTATGGTGAACCCACTGTTTGCTAAGTGGTGATTTTGCTGAAAACCATTAAGGAAATGCTGATTGTTGTAAATCACAGTCATAAATGCAGGTTAGTAGTTGCCAAGTGTCCAGAATGCGATCATGTGACTGCAGGGGGAGGGGCGGCCATCAGAACTTCGGAACTGGGTCGAAAGTCTCTTTTGGGACGGTCCGTTATAACTTCAAATGGTTGCTAAGCATCTGGTTGCAAATCGAGGATTACCTACATAGAATTCCTTCCATGAAACGCTTGGTGGCCCATGAAACTAATCGCAAGACTTCGTGTCTTCCCATTGGCCAGCGGGCGCGAGCAGTAGCCAATCACTGCTTGAAAAATATGCTCCCTCCAGCCTGCTGGGAAGCGAGTTGTGCAGTAGAGAGAAAGAGAGGCCTGTTTTTTTGAGCCTCTCTTTCTCTCCAGCTCTGTATCCAGGAGGATCATAGAGATTAAAAACGGGGTCATGGACATGTGTTAGATGTTTTCAAAACACAACTCATTGGATGGAGTTACTTAAACCCCGAATGTTCAGGATCTGAGGATTAACTGGTCACTCCACTGACCCACTTTGATGTTTCTGCAATTCACAAACCCTCCATTAACCTGGTTAAGTCAGGAAAGATGGTGGCTCAATGGGACCCTTCGTGGTCGCCAAAATATTCACCTGGGCCGTAATGAACCTGTGGAGCTTCTGGTTGGGAACAGGCGGAAATTCTTCTCCAAAGCAGAGGTGGATCTGGTACTGCGGTAGCGGCTTTCCGTGTCTCAGGAAACCTCGTAACTCTGGGAGAAACACAAAAGAGTTTTTAAGGATTTTTCTTGATAAAAAAACTGAACATTTAATTATATCGAAAAACATGGATCTTTTTTTTTTGCGAGAAATGGAAAGAAATGAAATTTTCATTCTGGGAATTGATTAGAATTATATGGGGGCACAGGAATAATATAGACCAGTGATGGCTAACCTTCTTGCCGTCGGGTGCCAAAAGTGGGGGGAACTTGGGGGGGGGTTCGCGTGCATGCCCACACCCATAATTCAATGCCCCCCCGCCCCCCCGCACATGCATGTGCAGCGTGACAGCAAAAAGGTGAGCCCGGTAGGCCCGTTTTTCGCTCTCCGCAGGCTCCAGAGTCTTTCTTGGAGCCTGGGGAGGGCAAAAACAGCCTTATACACACACACCCCGGATGCCCTCCGGAGGCTGGAAACGGCCCGCTTCCCAACTTCTGGTGGGCCCGGAAAGCCTGAAAATCAGCTGGCCGGCCCGCACATGCACGCTGGAGCTGAGTTAGGGCAACGCTTGCGTGCCCACAGATATAGCTCCACGTGCCACCTGTGGCACACGTGCCATAGTTTCGCCATCACGGATATAGACTAATATAGGACTCTTCAGAGTCCTATAGATGGCCTTGGCCCCCCAATTTCTGTAAACCCCCCCCCTCACGCTAGCATTGCCATGAGCATCACAGGTGCCACAAGGACCCTACTGTCACAGCAAGCACCACGCACACACTACCATCCCGTAACCGTGCTACTGTCACTGCGAGTGGTGCATGCGTGCAACCATCGGACTTGCGGCCCCGTTCATGCACGCACATGTATGCGTAAAGGCACCGCCCCCCCCGCCTTTGGGCCGCCAATCCAGAAAGGTTGGAGAACTCTGTTCTAACCTCCCCAAGCGAAACCTGAAGTGAGCAGATCTGGACTCACCCTGGAGGAATTGTTGCGTGTCCAACAGCCAATACGTTTTCTCTCTCTCCAGCTTGTTGGGCTGATCCTTGTGGGGTGCCAGCGGCCCCTTCCAGTAAACCCGACTCTGGCACTGGCGTTTCATGAAGACTCCTTCTGGAGCTACCCAAAGGAGCACCCCACGATTCAAGTGGGGGAGCAACTTCTTCAAGACCCAGATGGCCTTGGGCCCCCAATTTTTGCAGCTCAGGATATCCGGAGAAGGGAACTGGATTTCTTCCATGCCGCTTGGACCATACAGGTCATCGTTCTCTGCCACCACCGGCTGGTAGGTGATTCGGCAACCTTCCGCTACGCTTGTCATCATCTCTTTCACTAGCACATCGTGGTAGTAGAGGCGAACATGAAGGCAGCAATCTGGAAGGAGTTAAAAGGCCAGCGAGAATCAGAAATTGACACCATGATGTAGTTATGGAGTCTGTAAAGCCATATGACTCTTTTGGCTTGAAAGCAGAATTACAGAATTCTACGGCTGGAAGGGACCTTGGAGGTCTTCTAGTCCAGCCTCCTGCTCAAGTCAAATGGTTGTCCAGTCTGGGTTTTTTTTTAAAGCCTCCAGTGATGGAGTACCCACAACTCTGGGAGTTAAGCCCTTCTGATGATTACAAGCAGTCCTCTATTTATGACAATTGAACCCAAAATTTATGTTGCTAAGCGAGACAGCTGTTAAGTTAAGTTTTGTCCTATTTTACAAGCTTTCTTACCACAATTCTTAAGCAAATCCCTGCAGTTGTTAAGCTAGTAACATGGTTGTTAAGTGAATCTGGCCACTTAAGGGGATCACATGGCCCCGGGACACTGCAACCGTCATAAATGTAATTCATTGGTCAAGCATCTTGTTGTGGCCCGTCAGCGGCCTGTGCAGCTAGTAGCTGATTCTGACAGCGAGGAGGCTGGTGTGGGGCTGCGCCAGCATCCTGTGCAGCTGGCGCTCGAGTCGGACAGTGAGGAGGCTGGAGAAGATGTGGTGTCAGAGGCGGGGATTCAGCCAGGGCCTTCAGAACCTCCAGAAGCTTCCATGGGTGAAGAGGAAGAAGAGGAGGAGCCTCTTCTCGATGCACAGGTGTGCACAGCTGTTAAAAGGCAGGAGTGGCTCCTCAGGAGGTCTCCTCGAGAGTAAGGCTTGGGGCTAATTGGCCACTCCCTTAGCCTATTTAAGGAAGGATGACAACTGAGGCAATTTGCAGGGAACAACTTCGTTCACTCTCCTTTATGCCTTGATCTTAAGTTCTCTGCAAATTGCTTCTGGGCTTTCTGCCAACCCTAGTAAGATTACAATTATTTATTCTTTGGATTCTTGTAGGCTGTTAAGAAAGTTAATTAACAGCCTTTATTTGAAAAAGACTGATTTATTTAGTAAACTAAGGTTTGTACAGACTTTGTGTGTGCTGCGTTCTTTGGGGTCCGTAGCTGGGACAGAACACATCTGAATTTTGATCACGTGACCATGGGAATGCTGAACACGTATGACCATTGCAACATCCCCATCGTCACATGGTCAAAATTTGGACGCTTGGCAACTGACTCATATTTATGACAGTTGCAGTGTGAAAACTGGCTCCTCAGTCACTTTTCTCAGTGCCGTTGTAACTCTGAACCATCACTAAACGAACGGTTGCAAGTTGAGGACTACCTTTTGCAAACATACGTGCTCATCTAAGTTTTTAGTTCATCCTGAAGAAGGTCAGTCTTTGCGGCTACGATTGGTGGACACTGATCTGAAGGCATTTAATCAATTAATCAATCAGCGTTTTTACTGTTGCATTTAGCTAATTTTTTTGTAAACTGCTCCAGCTTGCAACTTCCTTTCTCCAAATGAAGAAGAAAATAAATAGTTCTTCGAATCAATTGCAATTCCTCTTTCTGTGTTTTGTTTTGCTTTCCCTGGTCAATGATATGGAACGACTTTGTGCCACCCTTCCCAATCACACCTCTCTGTGCCTCCCATCCTAAAGCCAACCAGCCCCGACCCAGCTTAGCTTTTACAAGCTTAGGCTCTGGTCAACGAGGTGCTGAACAGGACGCGGTGAAGAAATTCTCAAAATCAACACCTCTCCTACCTGAATTGATGCTTTTGCTGGGGACAAACTGTGAACTTGGACTAACGAAAGCCCGGTTTGGAAGCTGGTAGATCTGTGATGGAGCCCAAGTGTGGAAAAAACCTTTCACCTGACACCCTGTGGAGCGGAGCACAACAAATGTTAAGAGTTGCTTGAATGAAGTACTAATTGCATTTATCCACTTTGGCTGAATCCATTCTGATGGGTTTGTAGAAAATCCTGAAGTAATTCCAGGAGCAGATTTTCCTGCCGGCTTCCCCAGAAAGTCATTGGGGAAGCCATTGGGGATTTTTTTTAGGATCCAAGCTTCATTTCGCCAGATCGGCACAGGAGTTTCCTTCTGCCTTCTCCTTCCTAAATAACTCTTTTCTCTCCATCTGCTTAACGACCACACGGTTGCTTAATGACAGCAACTGGGTGAGCCAGGATTGCGGTCGTTGTGCAAAGAAGCCACGTGGGCATCTTATTTAACAACTGCTTGACTTAGCAACTGAGATTCTGGTCCCAATAAATCGAGGACTATCTATACTGTAAATCTCCAGAAAACAATTGTGATCCTGGAATACCCCACTTTGTTGGTGCATTATTGTTTTTGTTGTTCCACTCCATTATAGCATACAAACCCACCCCAGATCAGACCTCATTAAACATACAATGCTGTTATTTTTATTTTTTTTATTGATTTGAATCCCTCCTTGGATTCAACTGTGCCACCAAGGCACCAACTGTGCCACCAAGGCACCAACTGTGCCTTGGTGGCACAGTTGTTAAAGTGCTGTATCACAGGAGAATTCTGCTGCAAACTGCCAGCAGTTTGATCCTAACTGGCTCGAGGTTGACTCAGACTTCCGTCTTTCCGAGGTGGGTAAAACGAGGACCTAGATTGTTGGGGGCCAGAGGCTGACTCTGTAAACAACTTAGAAAGGGCTGTAAACCACTGTGAAGCGGTATATAAGTCTAAGTGCTATTGCTATCACTATTGCTATTGCTAGCTTCCTTCCTTCCTCGCTGTGGTGGTGCACTGGCTAAAAGGCAGTATTGCAGGCTGACTCTGCCCACTGCCAGCAGTTCGATCCTGACCGGCTCCAGGTTGACTCAGCCTTTCATCCTTCCGAGGTAGGTAAAACGAGGACCCAGATTGTTGGGGGGCAAGAGGCTGACTCTATAAACCGCTTAGAGAGGGCTGTAAAAGCACTGGAAACAGAGGCGGCCAGAATTGCTCTGGCGCAAATGTGGAAACAGATCAATATACCACCCGAAGAAATAGTAATTAAAAAGATCCTCGAATGTGCTGAAATGGATAAAACGACAATGGAGATTAAAGAAACAGATGATTCGGACTACTATAAAGTATGGAATAGATTCTATACGCGGCTAGAAAATAGAAATCGAAACAAAAAATAAGACTGTAAATTGAAATTTGATTAATTGGAATCTAAGAGTATTGAATACTGGTAAGGATAAAATATTGACTATATCAATTAAATAGGATGTAAGTATATGTAACAATTTAGTTCATAAGAATGTTCAATATGCTTACACAAGAATAAGAGAATGATAAGATTGAATTTAAAAGTAAAGATAATTGTCGATGCAGAAAGTTGTAAAATATTATATAATGTTGTTATTATGTTTTGTATTTTAACGTTTGGTGTATGTGTAAGTTCTTTTTTTTTTCTCTTTTTCTATTATGTTTTTGGTTTTAAAAATGTAAAATATTCAAAAATATGTAAAAATTATTTTTTTTAAAAAAAAAGCACTGGAAACGGTATATAAGTCTAAGTGCCATTGCTATTTGTACAAATAACTCAAAGCAATGCACTATCCTTATCATGATAGTGATAGAGCTGAGGTGGCGCAGTGGTTAGGGTGCAGTACTGCAGCTACTTCAGCTGACTGCTAGTTCAGCAGATCAGCGGATCAAATCTCACCAGGGCTGAAGGTTGACTCAGCCTTCCATCCTTCCGAGGTGGGTAAAATGAGGACCCAGATTGTTGGGGGGCAATATGCTATTTAGTAGACTGTCGATTGTTGTAAGCCGCCCAGAGTCCTCGGAGAGTGGGCGGCATAGAAATATGACTAATAAATATGAATAATAAATCATGCCCTCAAAATGGGTCTCCATAAATATTTCAGTCAGAGATGCAGAGAAGCCCTCGCTTCCGCCTTACCCTGGAGGTCTCCACTCTTCAGCTTCTGGGGGAGCAGAGCACTCCCTGGCTCATTTTGCGTTTTCCCATCAGGCTCCGAAGATGGCTTGGCCTAGAAAGAAAGGAAATAAAAGTGGTTGAAATTGGGAAGAAGGCACCTCAATGCGCATTCTGGAATTTTGTGGTGGAGGGGAACAAGCTATTTTCCTGAGGGCCAGACAAGGAATAATGGATGGAAACCGATCAAGGAGAGATTCAACCTGGAAATAAGGAGAAATTTTCCGACAGTGAGAGAACAATCAACCGATGGAAGAGAAGTTGCCTTCGGAAGTTGTGGGAGCTTCATCCCTGGAGGCTTTCAAGAAGAGACTGGACTGCTGTCTGTCAGAAATGGAGTAGAGTCTCCTGCTTGGCGGAGGTTGGACTAGATGACCTACAAGGTCCCTTCCAAGTCTGTTAATCTGTAAACCTCGAGCAAGAGGGTGTTAAAAGCTTGGAGTCCTTATTGTGTTGAAAGCAATGGAGACATTCCTCTGCCTCGTACCCCCTCCTCCCGGAATTCCTGAAGCCTGTCAATCCTCCTTCAACTTCAACCCTAGGCAAGAACGATCCATGACTCCATTGTTAGTGTGGGGTATAGTTTTACTAAAGTCAAGTCGAGCACAAGCAGTCCTTGACGTGCGACCATAATTGAGCCCAACATTCATGTTGCTAAGCGCAACATTTTTTAAAATAGTTTTTTAAATTAGTTTATAATGTAGTGTACGAAGAAAATATAAAAGTAAATAGTAAGGAAAATAGGAAAGGGAAAAGGGAAAAGTGAGGGGAAAGAAAAAGGGAAAAAGAAAAAAAAAGGCCTTGACTTCCAACTCCCTTTAAGGCATTAACCTCAAACTTCAACTTTTTACATTTACATAATCGTATTAAGTAGCCATTTCTATAACAACAGATCTATCTCATCGGTAAACCCCAAAATCAAAGTTTCTCTTTTTTTTCCTCCCTCAAGCATGAAGTCCAGAAGAGGTTTCCAAGTAGAAATAAAAATATTTGTATTTTTTTTCCCGCTGATCAAAGCAGTCAATTTAACCATCTCTGCTAACTCCATCAGTTTTTGCAGTCATTGTGGGGATCGAGGTGACCTTCACTAAGCGAAACCTTTGTTCAGTGAGTTTTGACCCATTTTACTTTTCTTTTCCCCCACGGTTGTTAAGCAAATCATTGCAGCTGTAAAGTTAATAACCCGGTTGTTAAGTGAATCTGCCTTCCTTGTTGACTGTGGGGAACGGGGGGGGGGATTTTACTAGGGAACTGGCATGGAAAACTCAGACCTGACTTTGCCTTATTGTATGGGCAGTCCTCAATTTAAGAATAGTTCATTTAGTTGCTGTTCAAAGGCACAGCGTCACTGAAAAAAGTGACTCATGAGCATTTTTCACACTTATGACCATTGCAATATCTTCATGATCAGGTGACCAAAATTTGGACACTTGGCAACTGATTCACATTTATGACAGTTGCAATGTCCCCAGGTCACCTGACCCCCTTTTGCGACCTTCTGATGAGCCAAGTCAACGAGGAAGGCAGATTCACTTAAGAACCGGGTTATTAACTTTACAGCTGCAATGATTTGCTTAACAACCGTGGGGGAAAAGAAAAGTAAAATGGGTCAAAACTAATAAAATGGGTCAAGACAGGATAGCAGTCTTCCAATATCTCAGTGGCTGCCATAAAGAAGAGCTATTCCCCAAAGCCCCTGAAGGCAGGACAAGAAGCAACGGATGGAGAGTAACCAAGGAGAGAAGCAACTTAGAACTAAGGAGAAACTTCCTGACAGTGAGGACAATTAACCAGTGGAACAGCTTGCCACCAGAAATTGTGGTTGCTCCATCACTGGAGGTTTTTAAGAAGAGATTGGGCAGCCATTTGTCTGAAATAGTATAGAGATTCTTGTCTGAGCAGGGGGTTGGACTAGAAGACCTCCAAGGTCCCTTCCAACTCTGTTATTCTATTCTATTCTATTCTGTTCTGTTCTGTTCTGTTCTGTTCTGTTCTGTTCTGTTCTGTTCTATTCTATTCTATTCTATTCTATTCTATTCTATTCTATTCCTTTACCCCACCTTCAGTGCAGAGACCTTAGGAAAACTCCTCGTTACAGAAAGTTGCATTTTGCCTTCAGCTGTTGCCCCATTGCCAGGTCTTCCTTTCTCGATCGGTTAAGTCTTTTCACTATTTTGGAATCGTTCCGTGGCCCAAGAAGCCACGCCATGCGTCAGACAAATAAGACCACCCGGTCCCCCCTGGAATCTCTGCACGCAGTTGCAAACCATATTCCACTTTTCCCAAAACTTTTTCATGCGCCATAGAAAAAATCCCAGCATGGAGGAAATTTATACCAGGAGCTGTCGCCGATTTGACAGCAGATAATCCATTCCATTCCATTCTCTGTTATCTCTTCTATTATCTCTCTTCTCTTCTCTTCTCTTCTCTTCTCCTCTCTTCTCCTCTCTACTCTTCTCTTCTCTTCTCCTCTCTACTCTTCTCTTCTCTTCTCCTCTTCTCTCTTCTCCTCTCTACTCTTCTCTTCTCCTCTCTTCTCTTCTCCTCTCTTCTCTTCTCCTCTCCTCTCCTCTCTTCTCCTCTCTACTCTTCTCTTCTCTTCTCCTCTCTTCTCCTCTCTACTCTTCTCTTCTCCTCTCTACTCTTCTCCTCTCTTCTCTTCTCTTCTCCTCTCTACTCTACTCTTCTCTTCTCTTCTCTTCTCTACTCTTCTCCTCTCTACTCTTCTCCTCTCTACTCTTCTCCTCTCTACTCTTCTCTTCTCTTCTCCTCTCTACTCCTCTCTTCTCTTCTCTTCTCTTCTCTGCTCTGCTCTACTCTTCTCTACTCTTCTCTTCTCTTCTCCTCTCTACTCCTCTCTTCTCTTCTCTTCTCTTCTCTACACTTCTCTTCTCTTCTCTTCTCCTCTCTACTCTTCTCTACTCTTCTCTGCTCTGCTCTTCTCTACACTTCTCTTCTCTTCTCCTCTCTACTCTTCTCTTCTCTTCTCTGCTCTTCTCTACACTTCTCTTCTCTTCTCTGCTCTGCTCTTCTCTACTCTACTCTTCTCTTCTCTACTCTTCTCTTCTCTTCTCTGCTCTTCTCTACACTTCTCTTCTCTTCTCTGCTCTTCTCTGCTCTGCTCTTCTCTACACTTCTCTTCTCTTCTCCTCTCTACTCTTCTCTTCTCTTCTCTGCTCTTCTCTACACTTCTCTTCTCTTCTCTGCTCTGCTCTTCTCTACTCTACTCTTCTCTTCTCTACTCTTCTCTTCTCTTCTCTGCTCTTCTCTACACTTCTCTTCTCTTCTCTGCTCTTCTCTGCTCTGCTCTTCTCTACACTTCTCTTCTCTTCTCCTCTCTACTCTTCTCTTCTCTTCTCTGCTCTTCTCTACACTTCTCTTCTCTTCTCTGCTCTGCTCTTCTCTACTCTACTCTTCTCTTCTCTACTCTTCTCTTCTCTTCTCTGCTCTTCTCTACACTTCTCTTCTCTTCTCTGCTCTTCTCTGCTCTGCTCTTCTCTACACTTCTCTTCTCTTCTCCTCTCTACTCTTCTCTTCTCTTCTCTGCTCTTCTCTACACTTCTCTTCTCTTCTCTGCTCTGCTCTTCTCTACTCTACTCTTCTCTTCTCTACTCTTCTCTTCTCTTCTCTGCTCTTCTCTACACTTCTCTTCTCTTCTCTGCTCTTCTCTGCTCTGCTCTTCTCTACACTTCTCTTCTCTTCTCCTCTCTACTCTTCTCTTCTCTTCTCTGCTCTTCTCTACACTTCTCTTCTCTTCTCTGCTCTGCTCTTCTCTACTCTACTCTTCTCTTCTCTACTCTTCTCTTCTCTTCTCTGCTCTTCTCTACACTTCTCTTCTCTTCTCTGCTCTTCTCTGCTCTGCTCTTCTCTACACTTCTCTTCTCTTCTCCTCTCTACTCTTCTCTTCTCTTCTCTGCTCTTCTCTACACTTCTCTTCTCTTCTCTTCTCCTCTCTACTCTTCTCTTCTCTTCTCTGCTCTTCTCTACACTTCTCTTCTCTTCTCTGCTCTTCTCTACTCTACTCTTCTCTTCTCTTCTCCTCTCTACTCCTCTCTTCTCTTCTCTTCTCTTCTCTGCTCTTCTCTACACTTCTCTTCTCTTCTCTTCTCTTCTCTTCTCTTCTCCTCTCTTCTCCTCTCCTCTCCTCTCCTCTCCTCTCCTCTCCTCTCCCCTCCTCTCCTCTCCTCTCCTCTCCTCTCCTCTCCCCTCCCCTCCTCTCCTTTCCTTATTCAAACCACTTGTTTTCAGAATGGCTGCATTTGGAACGCAGTTGCATTCTTTTCTCTGGCTGGGTGTCCTTGAGGTATTGTCTCCAGCCGGCACAAAGCAGTTTGTAGTTCCCCTTTACCCAAACAGCTTCCCTTCCCTCCCCCCTCCCCCCCCCCCAAGGCTACGGCAGGCTGGCATTGAAGCAAGGCGGAAGTGGGAGCGAGGTGGCAGATCTGATAAAGGCTTTTTCTGGCTGTTCCCTTGAAAAGGGAGACAGTCTGGGAAGATTCTTGAAAACATGCAAGCAGCAATAGAGAAGCACGGTGCAGCTCTGGTTACTTGTGCCGGTAGTAGTTCCAGATTTGAAGCTGCTATTTTCATCTTTAGGGAAGCTGAATTTTAAAAGAAAAATCCAGAGCAGAAACTTCCCTTTCGAGGCAGAAATAATCTCAGAGGAAAGCTCGGTTGTTAGGATACAAAAAGTCCCATCCCACCCACCCACCCCCCGCTTTGCAAAATAGCGGCTGCAAAGCTGGCTGAGGAACTCTGGGAGTTAAAAGTCCACAAGTCTTAAAGTTGCCAAGGTTGGAGACCCTTCTCTTAAAGCCATGCAACGAAGACTGATGAGCATTTTAATTTTGGTACTCACGGGGAAAATTGTGTTTATTTTGATTCAATTTAGGTAATCATTAATTAAATTAAAGAAAATAAAGGTAAGTTCACCACCCAGAGACACTGGTTGGGATGGGCAGCAATTGAAATGGTGGGGAGGGGGACGGAGGGAGGGGAAGACAGAGAGAGAGACAAAGAAAAGCAGGGAGGAAAAAAGGGGGGAGGGAGGGAGAAAAAGACAGGAAGGAAAAGGAAAGAAGGAGGGAGGGAGGGAGGGAGGGAGAGAGGGAAGGGAGAGAGGACGGAGAGTAGAAGGAAGGGAGGGAGGGAGGAAGGGAGGAAAAGAGGAAGAAGGGGGGAGGGAGGGAGAAAAAGGCAGGAAGGAAAAGGAAAGGAGGGAGGGAAGGAAGGGAAGGAAGGGAGGGAGGACGGAGAGTAGAAGGAAGGGAGGGAGGGAGGAAGGGAGGAAAAAGAGGAAGAAGGGGGAGGGAGGGAGAAAAAGACAGGAAGGAAAAGGAAAAAAAGAGGGAGGGAGGGAAGGAGGGAAGGAAGGGAGGGAGGACAGAGAGTAGAAGGAAGGGAGGGAGGAGGAAGGGAGGAAAAAGAGGAAGAAGGGGGGCGGGAGGGAGAAAAAGGCAGGAAGGAAAAGGAAAGGAGGGAGGGAGGGAAGGAGGAAGGAAGGGAGGGAGGACGGAGAGTAGAAGGAAGGAAGGGAGGGAGGAAAGGGAGGAAGGGAGGAAAAAGAGGAAGAAGGGGGAAGGAGGGAGAAAAGACAGGAAGGAAAAGAAAAAAAGGAGGGAGGGAGGGAAGGAAGGAGGGAGGAAGAAATGGAGAAAGGAAGAAGAGGAAGGAAGGAAGAAGGGAGGGAGGGAGAGAGGGAGGAAAGATACAGGCTGGCTTTTCAAGCAGAATATTCTTCGAAATCTACATCGTGATACATTTAAAACAGTGGACTGCAAATTTATTCATTCATTCCACAGTCAAAATGTCACCCCAGCGATCACCTTTTCCTACATGCTGGCTGGGGAATTCTGGGAATTCCACACACCTTCGAGATGCCAAGTCTGAGAAACATACATGCATACAGACAGACAGACAGACCTAACACCAATCGATGCTTCTTCGCCAAACAAAGTTAAGGCAGAAACAGGCAAATATTCCTCCCCATTATCTACCATAATCCCCAGCTGCTTGGTGCAGGTGAGCGGAGATCTCGTTTGAGCAGGAATCTGTTCGGATGATGTTTACAGGATCTGAAGAGATCCCACTCAGGTGCTTACCTTGCCTGAGAAGCCATGGGCTGCATCCACTCCAGGTGCTGGTGCCAAGGGACGTTTTGACTGCAGAGGAGAATCCATTCCACTTTCCTTCTCTGGAAACAACGATAGCAAAGAGACAAAAGGTAGATTCGCACAACCCCACCACCCGCCAGACTAAGCTAACACCAACTTGGAATAGACTAGGTTTAATATTTTGTTTATGGCGGGCAGGCAGGGCGGGTGAGTGGGCGGGGCCAGCCAGAGGTGGTATCTGCCAGTTCGGCGAACCAGTTAAAATTTCCGCTACCAGTTCGCCTCTAGTCGCCATGATGTAAAAAAAGATGTGGAGACTCTGGAAAGAGTGCAGAGAAGAGCAAACACAGATGATTGGGGGGGCTGGAGGCTAAAACATATGAAGAACAGTTGCAGGAACCGGGTATGTCTAGTTTAATGAAAGGAAGGAGCAGGGCAGACATTTTTTATTTATTTATTTATATTTAAATTTATATACTGCCCTTCTCCCGAAGGACTCAAGGCGGTGAACAGCCAAAGGTAAAAAGACATAGAATACAGACATTTAAAAACAGTTTAAAATATATTAAAACAATTTGGCCCAACAATTAAAATACCCCATTTTAAAATTAAAATTAAAATTAAACAATTGGAGAAGTTAGGCCAGCCCGGCTTGTTGAAATAAAAAAGTCTTGAGGGCCCGGCGGAAGGTACGTAAGTCCGGAATCGTCCGTATCTCCGGGGGGAGCTCGTTCCAGAGGGCAGGTGCCCCCACAGAGAAAGCTCTCCCCCTGGGGGCCACCAGTTGATATTGTTTGACCGACGGCACCCCGAGGAGCCCCTCTCTGTGGGAGCGTACTGGCCGGTGGGAGGCTCTCGGTGGCAGAAGGCGGTCTCGTAGGTATCCAAGTCCTAAGCCATGGAGCGCTTTAAAGGTGGTCAGCAACACCTTGAATCGCACCCGGAGGACCACCAGGAGCCAGTGCAGCTCGCGCAGAAGAGGTGTCACATGGGAGCGCCATGACGCTCCCATAATCACCCGCGCGGCTGCATTCTGGACCAATTGGAGCCTCCGGGTGCTCTTCAAGGGGAGCCCCATATAGAGAGCATTACAGTAGTCCAGGCGACATGATAGTAGTGTCCCGATATCTCAGGGGTTGCCACAAAGAAGAGGGAGTCAAGCTATTCTCCAAAGCACCTGAGGGCAGGACAAGGAGCATCAGATGGAAACCCGTATTTTTCGGCATATAAGAGGCAATTTCTCATCCCATCCCCCAAAAGTGGGTGAAAATGTCTGTGAGTTTTATAAAGCGAATGTTGCCGAAGCCCCACCCACCCACCGGCCCCCACCCTTCAGCGTCTGCCTCCCAACAATTTGCCTCCTTGCAGCAAACAGCAAACAGCCTGGTCAGCTTCAGCACAGCCTGATTTAGCACAAGCAGCTGATTGGCGGTTAGATCGGCCTCCTGGAATACCGCCAGGAACTATTCCCGTTCCAGGCTGCAGGGATCGCTGCTGCCCATTGGCGCTGCCTCCGCGCACCCCATTTTCAGCCTCCGCGTGCCCCATTTTCAGCTCGTTCCAGGCAGTGAGGATTGCCGGCGCTGCTTATCGCCGCGAAATGGCGGCAGAGGTGATTGGCGGTGATCCCACTGCCTGGAACAGGCCAAAAACGGGACATGCGGAGGTTGAAAATGGGGCTCGCAGAGGTCAAAAATGGGGTGCGTATAGGCGGCAATGGGTGGCGGCAATCCCCTCAGCCTTGGAACAGCTGATCGGCAGTATTCCAGGAGGCCAATCCAACCGCCAATCAGCTGCTCGTGCTAAATCAGGCTGTGCTGAAGCTGACTAGGCTGTTTGCTGTTTGCTGCAAGGAGGCAAATTGCTGGGAGGCAGAGGCAGATTTTTTTCCCCCTTGTTTTCCTCCCCAAAAGCTAAGTGCGTCTTATGATCCGGAGCGTCTTATAGTCCGAAAAATACGGTAATCAAGGAGAGAAGCAACCTGGAACTAAGGAGGAATTTCCTGACAGTGATAACAATCAGTGGAACAACTTGCCTCCAGAAGTTGTAAATGTTCCAACACTATAAGTTTTAAAGAAGGGATCGGATAACCATTTGTGTGAAATTGTATGAAATGGTATAGGGCAGTGATGGCTAACCTTTTTACCGTTGTGTGCCAAAAATGGGGGGAGCGTGGGGGGGGGGCGGGCCGCCGGGTGGCGACACCCCAAATTCAATGCCCCCCCCCGGCCCCCCATGCATGCATGGCGGGCCCCCCCCCAAATACGTGCGCGATCCCACTGCACTCCCTTGCTTTTGGCACACGACGGCAAAAAGGTTACTGGTGGTCCCTGTAGGCCCGTTTTTCGCCCTCCTCAGGCTCCAGAGGCTTTCTAGGAGCCTGGGGAGGGCAAAAATGGCCTTCCCCATCCCCCCCCCGGAGGCTGGAAACGGCCTGTTTCCCGACTTCTGGTGGGCCCGGAAGGCCCGAAAATCAGCTGGTCGGTGCACACATGCGTGCTGGAGCTGAGCTACGGCAATGCTCACGTGCTCACAGATATGGCTCCGTGTGCCACCTGTGCCACGCGTGCCATAGGTTTGCCATCACGGGTATAGAGTTTCCTGCCTGAGTAAGGGGCTGGATTAGAAGACCTCCAAGGTTCCTTCCAGTCCTGTTCTGTCCTATTCCTATTCCATTATTATCTGGGTCTTTAATATTTTGTCGAAGGCAGCTAAAGGGTTGTGTGCCCCAAGGGGTAGGGGTGGGCTGGGCTCTTTGTAGCAGGCCAGGGAAAAGGCAGAAGTTGACACAAGTGTAGTCAGATGCCAATTCATCTGTAAACCTGGAAGGTCCCAGAGGCCCCCTCCTCTCCCCTGTACCTCAAGTAGAGTCTTCACAAAAGTGCCCCCATTGGCACCATCAAGGGGATGAAATGCAAATTCACCTTCGATTTTGAATTTATGGAAAGGGAGGTGTGAAAACGTGGCCCTGCAACCTTGCTTGGGGTGCAGAAGGGAGCACACTGGCGTGGGGCAGTGGTGAGTGCCCTGAAACCCCTCCGCCTGCTTTTAAATTCAGAACTGAACAGAACCACAGATTTGGAAGGGACCTTGGAGGTCTTCTAGTCCAACCTCCTGCTCAGGCAGGAAACTCTACACCGGGGATGGCTAACCTTTTCGCCGTCGTGTGCCAAAAGCGAGGGGAGGGGGGGGTTGTGCGCGTGCGTGCCCATACCCATAATTCAATGCCCCCCCGCGCCCTCCCCGCATGTGCGGGCCACACCCCCCCCCCCCCGCGCCCCACGCTCTAAAGGTTTTCTTCGTGTCTGGGGAAGGAGAAAACAGCCTTCCATACCACCTCCGGAGGCCAAAAATGGTCTGTTTCCCGATGCCCGGAAGGCCCGTTTTTCACTCTCCCCAGGCTCCAGAGGCTTTCTTGGAGCCTGGGGAGGGCGAAATGGCCTTCCCCATTCCCCGGAGGCCGGAAACAGCCCAGAGGCCGGAAACAGCCCGTTTCCCGACTTCCGGTGGGCCCGGAAGGCCCAAAAATCAGATGGCCAGCACGCGCATGCAAGCTGGAGCTGAGCTAGGGCAATGCTCGTGTGCCCACAGATATGGCACACATGCCATAGGTTCGCCATTACGGCCCTACACCATTCCAGATAAATGGCTGTCCAGTGTCTTCTTAAAAACCTCCAGTATTGAAGCACCCACAACTTCTGGAGGGAAGCTGTTCTTTTGATCAATTGTCCTCCCTTCTCCTTATTTCCAGGTTGAATCTCTCCTTGGTCAGTTTCCGTCCATTATTTCTTGTCTGGCCTTCGGGTGCTTTGGAGAATAGCTTGACCCCCTTCCTCCTCTCTGGGGCAGCCCCTCAAATATTGGAAGATGCTCTCCTGTCTCCCCTGGTCCTTCTCTTCCATAGACCAGCCGTGCCCATTTCCTGCCACCGTTCATCCTATGTTTGAGCCTCCAGTCCCCTCATCATCCTGGTTGCTCTTCATTCTTGCCTTTTGGAATTCTAAATCTTATATACTGTTTTTATGCTTAACTGTTTTATATGCACATTACCCTCTATAAGAGAGCTGAACGGTTTTAAAATTTGGTAGGTCAGTAGGTAGGCAGATAGACAGACGGATAATACAGGTGACAGAGGGATAAAATAGGTAGGCTATTAGATAGACAAGTTAGATAAAAATATAGAGAGGGAGAGAGACAGGCAGACAGGCAGATAAAACATAGGCTCACAGGGCTGGAAGGGACCTTGGAGGTCTTCTAGTCCAGCCCCCAGCTCAAGCTGTGCCCTGTTTGAGAAGGGCGGTATAAAAATAAAAATAAATAAAAATAAATAAATAAATAAAGCAAGAGATCTTATATCAAATGAAACAAATGGCTGCCCAGTTTTGTTTTGTTTTTTAAAACCTCCAGTGATGGGGCACCTAGAGAGATTACATACATGATTGATTGATAGACAGACAGACAGACAGACAGACAGACAATGGATGGATGGATGTACAGGGAGCAATTCACAACTAATTAATTCAATTTTATTCCCATCAGATGTCACCATTAGAATTGCAGAAAAAACCATGGCTACCAACCTGCCTTCCATGGAGGACCTGTATCCTGCACGAGTCAAAAAGAGGGCTGGGAAAATATCTACAGACCCCTCACATCCTGGACATAAACTGTTTCAACGCCTACCCTCAAAACGACGCTATAGAGCACTGCACACCAGAACAACTAGACACACAAGACAGTTTTTTCCCGAACGCCTTCACTCTGCTAAGCAAATAATTCCCTCAACACTAGGGTGGATAAAAATCAATGATTTTTTTTAAAAAAAATCAAAAAAATCAGATTTTTTTTATTTAAATCGGATTTTTTTTATTTTTATCGAATTTATTTTAATAAAAAACTTCTGGGGTAAAAATCTATCGTAAGATAGTTTTCTGTTGCATAAATAATTTAGTTTATTCAGCATGAAATGGAGCTTAGTTATGTAGCAGGAGGCTGTATATTCTGCAACACTGGGACTATTGGTGAGTCAACAGTGGGTCAAAGGAGTAGCAGGGATGACAGCTGCTCTTTAAAAATTATGATTTAAATCGAGTTGATTTAAATCAAGCCTTTCTACTAGTGATTTAAATCATGATTTAAATCCACCCTGCTCAACACTGTCAATCTATTCACTAAGTCTGCATTACTATTACTCTTCTCGTTGTTCCTATCACCCATCTCCTCCCACTTATGACTGTAACCTTGTTTGCTGGTATCCTTACGATTTATATTGACTGTTTCCTAATATGATTTGATTGCTTATTTGTTCCCTACAACTCTCATTAAGTGTTGTACCTTAGGATTCTTGATGAACGTATCTTTTCTTTTTATGTACCCTGAGAGCGTATGCACCAAAGACAAATTCCTTGTGTGTCCAATCACACTTGGCCAATAAAGAATTCTAGTCTATTCTATTGAAGTACCTTTTGGTCCCAGGCCTCAATCTCCTGGAGGGCACCCCCCATCACCCCAAAAGCAAGCAAAACTCCCCTTTTATTTTCAGATTCAGCCTTTATTTTGGGTGGGGGAGGCAACTGCAAATAGGAGATAGACTGGCATGCAGGATTGACCCGGCCAATTTCAGGGGGACCCCCGAGAGGGAGACCCTTGGAGCCCTCCCCCCCCCAGAGGTCCTGGGCCCATGCTCCTGTCTCCAGCTGGGGGGGGAGGGAAACCGAACTCTCTTCCCAAGCCCCCTCCCCTGGTTTTTTTTTTTTTTTTGTCCTACCTGTGTCTTCTTGGGCCGCCTCTGGAGAGACCACCTGGTAGACTTTGTAAGGCTCGGAGGCCTCCAAGAGACTTTTCTCAGGCACCTCTTTAAAATCGGGGCTTTTGTTGAGGGCGCAGCGGAGACGCGTCTTCCAGACGGAGGGGTCGGCTTGATCCAGCCCTTCCCGGTACTTGCCCTTGTAGACTGCCCAGGCCTGGGGAGGGGGGAGGGAGGAAAGAGGGGGGAGGGGGCTGTCAGAAAGCCCAAGCAGAGACCCACCCCCCCGCCAAGATACCCTGATGCCTGGTGGCTCAGCAGACTAAAGCACTGTTATTAACACCCACTTACATCTGCTGCCTGCAATTACTGCAAGTTCGAATCTCTCCAAGGCTCAAGGTTGACTCAGCCTTCCATTCTTTCTAAGGTAAGTAAAATGAGGACCCGGATTGTGGGGGCAATAAGCTGACTTTGTATAAATATACAAAAGTATGAAAGCTATTGCTTAAAAAGGAAGAGCCTGTAGTACAGTGGACTAAAGCACTGTTATTAACAGATTAACATCTGCTGCTTGCAATTACTGCAAGTTCGAATCTCACCAGGCTCAAGGTCGACTCAGCCTTCCATCCTTTCTAAGGTAGGTAAAATGAGGACCCAGTTTGTGGGGGCAATAAGCTGACTTTGTATAAATATGCAAAAGGATGAAGGCTATTGCTTAGCACATTGTAAGCCGCCCTGAGTCTCTGGAGAAGGGCGGCATATAAATCAAAGCAAATAAAAAAAATAAAATAAAAAATACCCCACCCCACCCACTGCAACTGCTCTCTATTCCCCAGCCAGCCGGGGAAGGGCGCCTCTTGGATACCCGGAGCGGGGAGGGGCGGAGGGTGTTGACGCAGGCGGGGGTCCCCGACCCACCCCCCCCTCCGACCCCGTCGTACCTTGAAGAGCGCCGCGTCCTCCCGCTCGCGGTAGTCCTGCTTAGCGGCGTGTTTCCAAGGGATGCGGAAGAGCGTCTTCCGCCCGTCCACCCAGCGCAGTCCCGGATAGCGACCGCTCTCCACCTGGGCCAGCAGCCACTCCTTCAGCCGCATGGGCTGCGGCGCCTCGGCCATGTGGCCTCCCTCTTCCTCGGGGGACCCCCGGATCGAGGGCTTGATTGCCGGCCGAGCCGAAAGGCCCCCGCCGCTGCGGAGAAGTCGGGCGAAGCAGCAGCACCGTCCGCGGGGAAAGCGAAAGGCGGGCGGCACTTTCACTTTCGTTTTCGCTTTCACTCTCACTCTCGCTCTCGCTCGCTCTCGCTTCCCTTCTGCGTGCGGGGCGGCCGAAGCCGAGGGCTGCGAGGAGCCCAAGCCCAGGAGGGGCTCGGCGGGAGGGACCCGAGGAGGAGTGGGCCAAGCTCTTGTCCAAGCCTCCTCCCGGGGTGGGTCGTTCCGCGGGTGAATCCCTTCTTCTGACGGCCGGGGGATTTCTCCTTAGGGCTCGGTGAGGGTCGCTCCTTCCTTGGTTTCCAGCCGCTGATTCTCGCTTTTCATGGGGTTGGGTAATAAGTTGACACACACACACCCAACCCTCTTCTTTGGGGCAGCCCCTCAAATATTGGAAGACTGCTATCGTGTCTCCCTTAGTCCTTCTTTTCTCTAGACTAGATCTCTCTCTCTCTCCTCTCTTTTTTCTCTCTCTCTTTCCTCTCTCTTTTTCTCGCTATCCCCCTCCCTCTCTTTCTCTCCCTCCTTTCCTCTTTCTCCCTCCCTCCTCCTCTCCCTCCCTCCTCCCCTCTTTCTTTCTTTCCTCTCTCTCTTTCCCTTTCCTCTCTCCCTCTTCTCTCTCACTTTCTCTCTCTTGTTTCTCTCTCTCCTCTCTCTCTTTCTCTCTCTCTCCCTCTCCCTCTCTCTCTCTCTCCCTCCTTTCCTCTTTCTTTCTCTCTTCCCTCTTTCTCTCTCTCTCCCTTTCCTCTCTCCCTCTTCTCTCTCACTTTCTCTCTCTCTTCTTTCTCCTCTCTCTCTTCTCTCTTTCTCTCTCTCCTTCTCCCTTCCCCCTCTCTCTCCCTCCTTCCCTCTTTCTTTCTCTCTTTCTCTCTCTCTCCCTTTCCTCTCTCCCTCTTCTCTCTCACTTTCTCTCTCTCTTCTTTCTCTCTTTCCTCTCTCTCTTCTTTCTCTCTCTCCCTCTCCCCTCCCCCTCTCTCTCCCTCCTTCCCTCTTTCTATCTCTCTTCCCTCTTTCTCTCTCTCCTTTTCCTCTCTCCCTCTTCTCTCTCACTTTCTCTCTCTCTTGTTTCTCTTTCCTCTCTCTTCTCTCTTTCTCTCTCTCCCTCCCCCCCCCCCTCTCTCTCCCTCCTTCCCTCTTTCTTTCTCTCTTCCTTCTTTCTCTCTCTCCTCTCTTTTTTCTCTCTCTCTTTCCTCTTTTTCTCGCTATCCCTCCCTTTCTCTTTCCTCTCTCTCTCTTTCTCTCTCTCCCTTTCCCCCCTCTTTCTCTCACTTCTTCCCTCTTTTCCCTCCCTCCCTCTTTCTCTCCCTCTCCTTCCTTCTTTCTTTCTTTCCTCTCTTTCTCTCTTTCCTTTCCTCTCTCCTCTCTCACTTTCTCTCTTGTTTCTCTCTCTCTCTTCCTCCTTCTCTCTTTCTTTTTTCTCTTTCCTCTTTCTCTCTCTCTCTCCCTCTCCCCTCCCTCTCTCTTTCTCTCTCTCCCTCTTTCCCTCTTTTCCCCTCCCTCCCTTTCTCCCTCTCTCTAGCTCATCTACCTACCTACCTACTTTCTATCTATCCAGTGGTGGGATTCAAGTAATTTAACAACCGGTTCTCTGTCCTTTCCAACAACCAGTTTGCCAAACTGCTCAGAAAGTTAACAACCGGTTCTCCCGAAGTGGTGCAAACTGGCTGAATCCCACCACTGTATCTATCTATCTATCTATCTATCTATCTATCTATCTATCTATCTATCTATCTATCTATCATCTATTATATATAGATTATCTATTTATCATCTTCCTTTCTTCCTCCCTCCCCCTCTATCTCTATTATCTATCATCCATCCATCCACCCATCCATCTATCATCTATCTAGATGAATAGATAAAATAGATAATTATCTTTCTATATATCTGTTTGTCTATCATCTCTCTGTTATCTATGTATCCATCCACCATCCCTCTCTCTCTCTCTCTTTTAGAAATCCTGAATTGTCTGCTGGGGGGGCTGCTGGGGGATACTGCATCTGCGTCACCCCCAAAGAGCCTTGATAGTACAGTGGTCTAAGCACCCTGTTATTAATTGCAGCTGCCTGCAATTACTGTAAGTTCGAATCTCACCAGGCTCAAGGTCGACTCAGCCTTCCATCCTTTCTAAGGTAAGTGAAATGAGGACCCAGTTTGTGGGGGCAATAAGCTGACTTTGTATAAATATACAAAAGGATGAAGGCTATTGCTTAACGCACTGTAAGCTGCCCTGAGTCTCCGGAGAAGGGCGGCATATAAATCAAATAAAAAATAAATAAATAAATATATATATATATAGAGAGAGAGAGCCAGCCTCTTGTATTTGGTGGCCCCCTCTGCTTAAAGCTACTGGGGCTTATTTAAGGCACTGAGAGGAAGCAGGCCACCTAATGGTGCTTCCATGCCACCAAGTCCTTCCCACTGTGGAAAGGCCACCTTCGAATTGTGGAGGGCAGACCTTCCAGTTTTCTTTGACTCAGTTGGAGGGAGGCCATCACGGAAAATCCCGCCCGCCCCTTGTAAAACCTCTGACTGCGTTTGCGCAGGACGCTTGACTTCAGTTAACCTCTTTGGTGTGTTTACACAATGCATTGAATTGTAAATTAATCCAGTGGGTTAGAGTTCTTTTGCTACACAAAGCTACTCAAGGCTGATTGTAGCCAAGCGCATTTTGGAGAAAGGAGTAAAGAGAAAGTGGAAGTGAGTTTTTTTACAAAGTGCTATGTAAGGTTAAAAAAAAAAAATATTTTTCTGGGTTTGTTTTGCTTTTTGAAATATTAAAAAAAATTCTTTTCATAAATCGTATATTTTTTGTTTGTTTGATTGATTGATTTCTATAGCTACCTAAAATAAAATAAAATTAAAAAAATGAAATAAAAAAATAAAAAAATACAATACAATACAATAATAAAATGAAATAGATAAAATAAATTATAAAATACAACAAAATACAATAAAATAAAATATAAATTAAAATATAAAATACTATGCAATAATAAACTAAAATAATAAAATAAAATAAAAATATAACATAAACTAAGAAACTAAAATAAACAATAAATAATAAATAATAAAATGATATAAAATATAAAATAATATAAAATATAAAATAATATAAAATATATAAAATATAAAATGAAATGAAATAATCTTGCAGGAACCAGGAAGTTCACGCCTTCTGTTGTTCTTTGAAATTTCATTCTCACCCCCCCCCAACCTCATCCTGCCCCCCTTTTGCAAAGCTGTCAAGATGGGGTTGGGTTCCTGCCCGCAGAGGGGGGAGGAGGAGGGAGGCAGAATGTCAGTTAAAGCCGGTGAGATGGTTATTTTAATCATTGTTTAGCTTGTATCTTGGCTGCCGGTTGAGTGTTGATGTAGCTGCTTGTCTTGTTGTGAGCAGCTGATGGAGGGAGGCCAGCGTCACCAAGGTGTAAATTGAATAAACGAATAACAACTTGTACGGCTATTTACTCCTCTTATCATGTTAATAACAAGGTAATCCACTCTCTTATCATCTGGGTTAATAGCCCAGGAATCGTGGTTTATTTTGATATTACGATGTTCTGCCTTACCTTGCTTTTATGAATTTCCAAGTTTTGAAAATGTCTTCTACTATCAGAGCCACGCTGACTCCTCGCTGGTGTACAAATATAAGTAGTCCTCATTTTGCAACTGTTCATTTAGTGACCATTCAAACTTACAACCGCGCTGGAAAAAGTGACTTCTGATCGTTCTCAAACTTACGACCATCGCAGGTCTCCATGGTCAAAATTGAGGAGCTTGGCAACCGACTCATATTTATGACGGTTGCAATGTCCCTGGGGGGGGGAAATCACGTGATCCTCCTTTTGCGACCTTCAGACAAGTGAAGTCCACGGGGAAGCCAGATTCACTTAACAACCATGTCCCTAATTTAACAATTGCAGTTTATTCCCTTAACGACGGTGGCAAGAACGGTCATCGAACGGGGCAAAGTTCACTCAACTGTCTCATTCCGCAGCATCAATTGTGGTCGTAAGTCGAGGACTACCTGTGACATAAAATAAATCCCTGCAGCCATAAACTACCCAATCTATCTGAAGATACTTTCTCAGGGGGTCGGCGTGTCCTGCAAACTCAACTGTCAGATCTTTAGCTCGACATGATTAACGGCGTAGTGTGAAGGCAGCTGTTGAGGTCTATCATGTCATGGACAGTCAACCGTTGGTGGACTCTCCTGGACACCAACAAACCAGGTTCAGCTGGAGTTGTGCAACGAAACGGTCACAAGATCATCGGTGCACAACATGATTGCGTTAACGATCAAGCCTGCCTTGTCATGGATCTCTCTGGACTCCAGACGTTTATCTGGACCAGAGACAGATTGTCTCCTGGACACCTGGGCTGCAATTGGACAGTATTAATAAAGGCATAAATATTTTCTTGATGTATGAATTTTATCCGCCACCCGTTTCACTATCCAGAGCGACTCTGGGTGGCTTACAATCAGAGGGGGGATTCAGCCGGTTCTGGCAATCTTCTGGGGTGCAATCCCATGTGTTTTTTGACACAGTATCAGGGGTGAAATGCTCCCGGTTCGGACCGGATCGCCCAATCCGGTAGCAATGGCGGCAGGTGATTCGGAGAACCAGTAGCAAAAATCCCTGCGCCCCCCCCATGCCCAGCTGAGCCGCGCGATCATCAGAGGCATTTTTTTATTTTTAAAAACATTTTTAAAAGCAGTATATGCAAAAGTATGAAGGCTATTGCTTAACGCATTTTAAGCCGCCCTGAGTCTCTGGAAAAGAGCGGCATATAAATTGAACCAATAAATAAATAAACTTTTTCTACAACCTCTTCAGCCGAAAAAAAATGCTTTTAAAAGCCTCTGACGATCCCAGCTGAGTTGCCTGATCGTCAGAGGCTTCTAAAAGCATTTTTTTCTGCAACTTCTTGGGGTTGTAGAAAAAAAATGCTTTTGAAAGTTTTTTTTTAAAAAAAAGTTGGCCACGCCCACCCAGTCACATTAACCCCCCCCAAGCCACGCCGACAGAACCGGTGGTAATAAATTTTACATTTCACCACTGCATGTGTGGACGGTGCACGAGAGCGAATTACCGTGTTGTTTGACGCTGCACGCATACACGGATGGCACAAGCTAGCGAATTGCCGTGTTTTGTGATGCCGCACGCATGTGCAGATGATGTGTGTGCGAGCAAAGCACACACACTCACATTTCCGGTCCTGGGTGAACTGGTTGCTACAGTATGTGAAGCCCACTTCTGCTTACAATGAGATAAAAGCAGGGGTGAAATGCTCTGGGGGTGGGTCTAGATTGATTCTAGATTCTCCAAGGTTCCTTCTAACTCTGTTCTTAAGGACTATGATAACAATCTTCCAGTATTTGAGAGGCCGCCCCAAAGAAGAGGGAGTCAAGCTATTCTCCAAAGCACCTGAGGGCAGGACAAGAAGCAACGGGTGGAAACTAATCAAGGAGAGAAGCAACCTGGAATTAAGGAGAAATTTTGTGACAGTGGGAACAATTAACCAGTGGATCCACTCGCCACCAGAAGTTGTGGGGTTTTGATTATAGAGGTTTTCGATAATAGACTGGACAACCATTTGTTACGGGGTTGGACTAGATGACCTATAACGTCCCTTCCAACCCTGTTAATCTGTTAAGGATGGTACGGAATAAGGTCTCCTGCCTTGAGCAGGGGGTTGGACTAGAAGACCTCTGAGGTCCCCTTCCGTCCTTATGATTTTTTTATGTTCTGAACAAGAGTGACTGATGAATCCTTATCATCTGGTCACATTTGATAAGAGGGAACAGTGACCAATCCTAGTTACTAAGCCTTTATCACCATGCTTTTGTTGGCACGAGGCTCGTGGCAGGCACAGGGATTGGCAGTCAAGAAAGCGAAAATTATTCCTGGGTTCAAAGCCAATTTTCTGAACGAATAAAACAGCTTTTTTATTTGGCCGGGGGAAATTGGCAGGCAGAAAGACTTGATGGCATCCGCCACCCTAAATTTGGTCTTGGAAGTAATCCGATTTTCTGAATGGGCACAATACACGAATCTCATGCGCCAAGACGTAAAACGCCAATGAAACCACAGGATGAAAGGATAATCCTGATTCTAAAGGTTATTTTACTTTATTTATATTTATAATCAAATTTCTATACCGCCCTACTCCCGAAGGACTCAGGGCGGTGAAGAGCCAAGATAAAATACGGATAATACAAATATTAAAAATCCCTTAAAATTATTTGGTGGGCATGGTGTGGCTTGTTGGGTGTGGCAGGGGAAGGTTACTGCAAAATCCCCATTCCCACCCCACTCCAGGGGAAGGATACTACAAAATCTCCATTCCCACCCCACAGATACTGCAAGATCTCCATTCCCACCCCACTCCTGGGGGAAGGATATTGCAAAATCTCCATTCCTACCCCACTCCAGGGGAAGGATACTGCAAAATCTCCATTCCCTTCCCACTCCAGAGGAAGTATACTGCAAAATCTCCATTCCCATCCCACTCCTGGGGGAAGGATATTGCAAAATCCCCATTCCCACCCCACTCTGGAGCCAGCCGGAGGTGGCATTTGCTGGTTCTCCGAACTACTCAAAATTTCCACTACCAGTTCACCAGAACCTGTCAGAACCTGCTGGATTTCACCCCTGGTGTCCTGTCTAGCAATGTTTTCGATGTTAAAAAAAAAATCATCTGAGTTTAATTTGTGTTTGCTTCTCTTTTTTTTTTTTATTAAAAACAGTTCTTTGATTTCCTGCCCAAGTGACTCTGCCAGTCTAAGTGATCTCCAGATCCTCTAGATCCAGTTTGGGATAGGTAAGATGCCACGGTAAATTTTCTACCAGTTTACTACAGTACCAGTTTGTTAGCAGAGGGTTTTGAAACTTTAATCTTCTCTTTATTAAATTATGATTGCTCTTCCTGTTATCTAGTTTGTCATGATTATAATATATAGATGGCAGGTTAATAATTTGCAAATAGATTTACTAGTTTAAAAATGTTTTGGGGGGAGAGCTGTTTCTCAAGGGATGGGAACCAATATTCAACTAGGCAGGATAATATGTATATATGTTTTAATTCAATTCAATATTTAATATTTAATAATATTTAATAAAAATGTTTATTTTTATTTGTTCTGGTCTCTGGTCTCTGACTGTAATAAACTGAATTGAATTGAATGTACAGTATATACAGTATGTTTTGGTTTTCTTTGTCTCTTTAATGCACTTTTTAAATGTTTTATAGCAGTTTTTTTTTTTCCTTTGGTTTTTTTTTTAAATTTTGGAGTTTTGTATTTTAACGTTTTTCGAATAAAATAAAAATAGTACATCCTGGAAACCCCTTTCACCATTTTTGGGGTGCTTTGAGTTGAAAATCCTTCCGATGGGAATTTGGGAGTGTATAACGGCCTCTTGGTTGCGATAGGTGATCGGAGCAGTAGAAAATATGCCAGCTTTGCCTGGCACTGCCAACGTTTTCCAGTTCCTCATCTCCAGCTTTGCCTGGTCCTATTTCTGTTTCCCCTTAGGGATGATAACGGACGAGATCCCTCTTGTCTGGTCCTGCTTTTCCTTCCCCATCGCGGGAATCTCTTTGCATTTTCCCAAAAAAACTTTGGAAAGTTTCATTTAAGACAGCTGGGCAAACAGGAAAAAGTGTCCTTCACCCGTATCAGAAAAGAATCCATGTGTTTGACCCCGCGGCCGGTGCTCTTGGGCCCCGGGGCCGGCCAAGGCCGCTCGGGGCTGCGGGGCTCCAGCTTTCGGCCAGATGGCAGAAGACCTCGGAGAGCTTCACGGTCGTTGAAGAGGGTTCCTCGGGGTGGAGGCTGAAGCTTCCGGCGGATCTGGCAAGGACACACAAGGCAACGGATTTGAGTTGGGGGAAATCCAGGGTGGAACTGGGACTTTCCGATTTTCGTTTTAAAGGGTGCAAATTCCAAAGCTGGCTTTAAACCGCCCTTCCCAGCAAGTTTTCCACCTCTATGAATGAGGAGAATGGGACAGACTCTTTCAGATTAGAGTTTAGAGGTTGGAAGTGGACTTCAATACCCAGAATTCCCCAGCCAGAGGTTAGAGATTGGAGGTGGACTTCAACTCCCAGAATTCCCCAGCCAGAGGTTAGAGATTGAAGGTGGACTTCAATTCCCAGAATTCCCCAGCCAGAGGTTAGAGGTTAGAGGTGGACTTCAATTCCCAGAATTCCCCAGCCAGAGGTTAGAGATTAGAGATTGAAGGTGGACTTCAATTCCCAGAATTCCCCAGCCAGAGGTTAGAGATTAGAGATTAGAGGTGGACTTCAATTCCCAGAATTCCCCAGCCAGAGGTTAGAAGTTAGAGATTGCAGGTGGACTTCAATTCCCAGAATTCCCCAGCCAGAGGTTAGAGATTAGAGGAGGACTTCAATTCCCAGAATTCCCCAGCCAGAGGTTAGAGGTTAGAGATACAGGTGGACTTCAATTCCCAGAATTCCCCAGCCAGAGGTTAGAGGTTAGAGATTACAGGTGGACTTCAACTCCCAGAATTCCCCAGCCAGAGGTTAGAGGTTAGAGATTGGAGGTGGACTTCAATTCCCAGAATTCCCCAGCCAGAGGTTAGAGGTTAGAGATTGGAGGTGAACCTTCAATTCCCAGAATTCCCCAGCCAGAGGTTAGAGGTTAGAGATTAGAGGTGGACTTCAATTCCCAGAATTCCCCAGCCAGAGGTTAGAGTTAGAGATTAGAGGAGGACTTCAATTCCCAGAATTCCCCAGCCAGAGGTTAGAGATTAGAGATTGGAGGTGGACTTCAATTCCCAGAATTCCCCAGACAGAGTTTAGAGGTTAGAGGTGGACTTTAACTCCCAGAATGCCCCAGCTGGCATGTCTGACTGGAGCATTCTGGGAAATGAAGTCCACATAACTTACATATTTGAAAAACAGTGCTAGAGATCAATCTTAATCATCATCATCTTCATCCAGGGTACAGGAAGGGAGGTATCTACCTGTCTGCTGATGAGTACCTTAGCAGCATTGCTTCTTAAGAGGGAAACCCCTTTGCCAACCTGGTGCCCTCTACATGGGTGGGCTAAGCTCCCCCAGCAGGGCACGGGGGCAATTCCCAGGGACAGGAAGGGGGTCCCAGGACTTCTCTCGTTTGACCCCAAAGCAGTGCGGGTGGTTTTATTCAAGGCTGCCTGCTTTATGGGTAGAACCTCGACTTAGGACCACCATGGAGCCCAAAATGTCCGTTGCTAAGCGAGACAGTGGTTAAACGAGTTTTGCTCCGTTTTACGATCTTCCTAGCCACTGTTGTTAAGTGGGACACGGCAGTTGTTGAGTTAGTAACGGGGTTGTTAAGTGAATCCGGCTTCCCTGCTGACTCTGCTCGCCGCAAAAGGAGATCACAGGACCCCCCCCCCCCCAGGAAGCTGTCCCCGTCATAAATATGAGTCAGTTGCCAAGTGTCTGAATTTGGACCACAAGGATGCCGCAGAGGTCGTAAGTGTGAAAAACAGACTCATAAATCATTTTTTTCGGTGCTTTTGTAACTTTGAACAGTCACTAAACGAATGGTTGTAAGTCGAGGACCACCTGTATTGGTAGACCAGACAGGAAACACAGCCAGGTAAACTAATTGTAAACCTAAAATTTCAGTGTCCCTGTGGTCACGTGATCAAAATTGAGACACTTAGCAACCGATTCATATTTATGACGGTTGCAGTGTCCCGGGTCCTGTGGGATGCCCTTTTGCGCCCTTGCTGACAATGGGGAAGCCAGATTCACTTAACAACCGTGTTAGTCACTGATCAACTGCAGTGATTCACTTAACGACGCTGAGAAGAAAAGTCGTAACACGGAGCAAAACTCACTTAACATACGTCTCACTTAGCAAGAGGAATTTTGGGCTCATCTGCAGTTATTAAGTCGAGGACTACCTGTACTGGTACTCAGACTTACGACGTTGCGGCATCCTCGTGGTCACATGATCAAAATCCAGATGCTCGGCAAACTGACTCATATTTATGACGGTCGCAGTGTCCCCGGAGTCAGGAGTTTGCAACCTTCTGACCAGCAAAGTCGATGGAGAAGCCAGATCCACTTAACAATAGTACGATTCACTTAACAACCTCCGCAAAAAATGGTAAAAGTGAGTGATTCACTTAACAACCTCCGCAAAAAACGGTAAAAAAGAGTGATTCACTTAACAACCTCCGCAAAAAATGGTAAAAGTGAGTGATTCACTTAACAACCTCCGCAAAAAAACGATAAAAGTGAGTGATTCACTTAACAACCTCCGCAAAAAACGGTAAAAGTGAGTGATTCCACTTAACAACCTCCGCAAAAAAACGGTAAAAGTGAGTGATTCACTTTACAACTGCATGGCTTAGCGACGGACGATCCAGGGACAGTTGTCATAAGTTGAGGAGTGGCTGCACCATTACAAGGCCAGAGATGCCTTAGTCTTATTCCTCACCTTCTGCACTGACCGGCTATGTCCGAACTCCTCCAACTGCCGACGGAAACCAAGGTTGGGGTTGGCCACTGGCCGCACGGCCTTGACCGCTTCGAGGGCCTCGAGCCAGCCCAGCTGCGTCACCGCCATGAGGTAAGCCAGGACGATGGTGGTGCTGCGGGAGATCCCAGCTAGGCTGGAAGGCGAGTTGAAGGACAGGATTAGAACCCGGAGCCCTCTTGCCCTCGGCCACCCCCTCTCTCTGCCAGCTTCCCCGCAGAGGCTGAGTGACAGGGCACCCCAAAAGTCTCCGAGTTGCTGGGTGTTCCCACTTTTTTTTTTTTTGTAAAAAAAAAACATAAACATAAAATACATCTTTTTAGAACGAAGCATTGATCCGGTCAATAAATATAAATATAAAAAATAAATATAAAAATTGGTACAATCACAAATTCATCTTTAACAACAACTCATCTCCACTAATCATCATCTTATAAAAATAATAAAAATAAAAATAAAACAGAGAGAGAGAGAAAAAAAAACCCCCACCTCACAATAACTCGCTCAAAACAATTACCTTTTTATTATTTCACCTCAGATCTTAATTTCCAAATAACACAACTTAATGTTTAACACAATTGCTTCCCAAAAATTCTACCTATTTTATAATACCATTATCCCAAAACCCGTTACTTAAATCCTTAAATCCTAACTCAATATCATTTCATTACCTTTTCTTTTTGTTTAGATGAATGTATCTTAAAAATATAGTATTTAGTATTTATTAGTATTTATTTAGTATTTATTAAATTTTTATACCGCCCCCTCTCCCGAAGGACTCGGGGCGGTGAACAGCCAGAATTAAAAACACACAATACAAATATTAAAATACATTAAAACAAAATTAAATTATCTTTGGCTTCTCCAATTTAAAACCCCTTACCCATAAAATTCACCCAATTAAAAAATTTATAAATCATTGCTATTATCATAAACAATATCTTAACTATCACTCACAGCAAATCATCTTCATTCCTGTTCATCTCCTAATTTTCATCCCTAATTTTCATCATCCTAATTTTACTAGTAATCACAACATAATCATCTTTAATTGTTTATAACAGCACTTCCTCTTCATCTTCATCCTGGCCTAGATCTTCTCCCCTTTTAAATATAAATTTTAAATACAAATTTTAATCTGTTTAAATTATGGGGTATTTTAAATTCAGCCAAATTATTTAATTCGTTTTTAATCTATTTTAAATTTTTGTATCTCTGTGTTTTATCTTCTGGCTGTTCACCGCCCTGAGTCCTTCGGGAGAAGGGCGGTATAGAAATTTAATAAATAAATAAATAAATAAAAATAAATCTCAATCCTCATCTTTTACCTTTAATCCCAATGTAGTCATTTTTATTTTTACTGTTGAACCCAGCATAGTCATTTATTTTTACTGTTATTTGGGTGTTCCCACTTTGTATTGGTTGATGGTGGCCTGGCGTAATGTGTGAATGCAGTCAAGTTGGTTTGTAAATCACGGCTTATGGGTTAGTAGAATGTGCGAACCCAGCCATGTGGCTGGGTTTAATGTATATGGTTTAAAATACAATTAGCCAGAGGAACAGTTTGCCTTCAGAAATCGGGGGTGCTCCATCACGGGGGGGGGGGGGGGGTTGGGCGGGGGGCTGGACTAGAAGACCTCCAAGATCCCTTCCAGCTCTATCCTATCCTATTAAGTGAGAAGGTGGCTATTTTGGTTCGTAAATCATGGTTTATAGTTTGATATCCAGTGTGAACCCAGTCTTCTGGATGATGGTATGTATATGGCCATCTTGGTTCATGCATCATGGTTTGTAGCTTAGTATAAAGTCTGAACCCGCCCATCTAGGTTATGGTTTAGTGATTACATGCATCTTGGTTTGTAAATCTAGGCTTAGTACAAAGAATAAAGCCAACAATCTATGTTTGTAAATCACGGCTTATTGGTTAGTAGGAAATGTGCACCCAGCCATCTGGATTACAACAATATCAAGTGTGAGCATGGCTATTTGGCTTCATAAATCATAGTTTATGGTTTAGTATTCAGTGTGAATTCAGCTGCCTGGATTATGGTTAGTGTCACATATGAATACAGCCACTTTGATGCATATATCATGGTTTATAATTTAGCATGAAGTCTGAATCTATTTATTCTGGATTATCCCTTAGTGATTACACCCATTTTAGCATATAAATCATGGCTTAATAGACAGAATAAAGCCAACTATTGAGATTTGTAAATCATGGCTTATCGGTTAGTAAATGTTACAAGGTTGGTGGATCAGGCCCAATGAAGAGACTTGAGTCAGTATATAAAATCTCTTTCTTTTATTTGCAGGTTCATCATATCATCATTTGGTTACATCAAGATCTGGGGAACATGGAGGAGTGTGCCCACCTTTTATACCTGTGGGCGGGGAATCAGGTAAGGAGGAGTCTATGGAGGAGCTGACCAGGTGGGTGTCTGGGTTAACCCTTTCACTACTGAGCTATAGCTGATCCCTGGTATAGTCAGAGCATTTACACCTGACAAATCCCCCTCTAAATGCCTGACCCGTGTCTGTGGACCTGACTGGCTGGTTGGCACCCTTGGGTGGATGTTGAGTTTGGAAACTAAGTGTGAGTGTTGTTTGCCCTGTAGTGGTTTCGTGAGTATGTCTGCGGTCTGTTCTTCTGTGTCGCAGTGAATGGCCTTTATGAAACCGATTCTGGAGAGTTGTCTGACGTGCTTATATTTTATGTCTATGTGTCTTGATCTTTGCCCTACAGCGTCGGACATGGATATCTCTATGGCGGCTTTGTTGTCTTCATAGATATTTATTGGGTAAGCTGGTTCTCTCCACACGCTGGCGAGTAGGTCGTCGAACCAGATGAGGTTGTTGGCAGCTTTGGAGAGGCATATGTATTCAGCCTCAGTAGTCGAGGTAGCCACCAAAATTTGCTTGCCTGTGTACCAATGCACCGGACTGTTATTTAGGTAGAATATGTACCCAGATGTGCTTTTCCGGCCTTTGGTATCTCCGGCCCAGTCGGCATCGGCGTAGCAGGAGAGGATGGGTTCGTCGGATTTTTCGGGTTCTAGGGTTAGACATGCGTTGGCACTTTGTTTGAGGTATCTTAGTACTCTTTTCACTGCGTCCCAGTGGTATGTGGTGGGTTTGCTTACGTGCCTGGACAATAAATTAACTGAAAGAGCAATGTCCGGTCTTGTCCAGTTAGCGATATATAGGAGGGAGCCTATGACTGACCTGTACAATGTGTTGTCTTCAAACCCGGTGATTCATCATGCATGTTTTTCAGAAAGTCCATCTGCATGGGTGAATCACATCCCTTGGCGTCTGCCATGTTGCACTTGTGGAGCAGTTCCTCTATTTTCTCTCTCTGCGACAGCTGGAAACCTTTTGGCGTTTGGTTGACTTGTACCCCCAGGTACCGATTAATCTTCCCAAGGTATTTTAGGGTGAAGTGTTTGCCCAGCCTGCTGGCAAAGTTGTTGCGGTTTCCTTCGTGTTTACTGATATATAGAATGTCATCCACGTAAACTAGGATGTATTCTGGTGAGTCCCCTTCTTTCTTGGTAAAGAAACAGTTGTCAGCTATGGTCGCTGTGAATCCCATAGACTTCAGGGCCTCTACCAGGCATTCGTACCAGCGTTTGCCCGATTGCTTTAGCCCGTACAGGCTCTTGTGGAGTAACCAGGTGTCCCCCCTGCTGGTTTCTTTGCTGTGGGGCGCTTTGATGTATATTTCTTTGTCTAGGTTGGCGTGCAAGTAGGCAGTCTGCACGTCAAACTGGTGCACCTCCAGCCCTAGCAGGATGCAATGACCAGGGCGCTTTTGACGCTTTCTGTTCTTACGGTGGGGGAATATGTGTCAGTGTAGTCCTCAGGAAACCTTTGAGCAAACCCCTGGGCGACTAATCTTGCTTTGTATAGGCTTTGGCCACCCTCTAGGTTCTTGATCTTGAAGATCCATCGAGTGCCTATTGCGTTCTTGCCCTCTGGGACCTTGGATGGGGTGTAGACTTTTAGCTTCCTCAGGCTATCCAGTTCTTTGGCCATGGCTAACTCCCATTTTGTCCTTTCTTCCTGGGGCAGCCTTAACACTTCCTCGTAGGAGTTTGGTGTGATATGATTCGTATGCACGTGCATCACGTAATCATTTAACCTCCTGGGTAGCTGATTTCTGGTTGACCTGACCGCCTGTCTACTGTCTGTTCTGTATCGTGTAGATGTCTGGCCTCTCTTTGTGTCAGTGAGTCTATACTTATCTTGGGATGGTTTTCTTTCCATCCCTCAACCCTAACGCCTTGGAGATTGGGCTTGGGCCTGCCCTCTTCCTGTCTATTCACTGTCTCGTCTTTGCTTTGAGCTTGCTCAGCAGGACTATCCTCTCGCTCGGTGGGTACCTCGTTTAAGTGTATTCTGGACCAGTTGGCTTGTTCGTGGAATGCCGCTGTCCTAGAGACCACAAATCTATTATTGTTGTCCACAAACCTGAAGCCCTTGGTTCCTGGTTCGTATCCCATAAACCTCAGCCTTCTGGATACCTTATCCCCTTTCTTGCGTAGCTGCTTGGGTATGTGTACATCAGCAGTTACACCGAACACATGCAAGTGTGCTATTTGTGGCTTCTTATTATACATGATCTCATATGGTGTTTTGTCTATCACACTGGACCATGTTCTATTCAGTGTGTAATTGGAGTAGACCAGGGCTTCAGACCAGAAGTGTTGGCCAATGCCCGCGTCCTCTAAGGCGCACCTGACCATCGTTTGCAGCGTGGAATTCGTCGTTCTGCGACCCCGTTTTGAAAGGCGGAAAATGGGGACGACGTAAAGTGAATCACGCCTTTGGATCTGAGCCAATGGGAGAAGTCCTTGGATAGGAACTCAGACCCCCTGTCGGTCATGATTTGTTTGACCTGTTTGTTGTTTTGGGTTTCTACTCTTTTATAAAACTCCTTGAATTTTTGGAAGGCCTCATCCTTTTTTCTTAAGGTGTAGACGAAGCCATATCGACTATAGTCGTCCACTATAGTGAGAAAGTACCTTTTCTTATAGTTTATGGATGGCCTTAGGGGCCCTACCAGGTCCATGTGTACTAAGTCGAATATTTGTTTGGTGGCACGTAACGACTTCTTGGGTCTGGGTTTCACCTTTAGTTTTGAACACTTGCACACCGAGCACTCGAGGTAGTTTTTACAGTTTTTTATTTTGACGCCCTCGGTACAATTGGTCATTTTCTGTACAACGGGAAAACTGGCGTGTCCTAGCTTCCGGTGCAGCAGATGGGCGCAGTCATCATGCATTGGCCTGCCTATTGAGGGTTTCCTTTGGGTGTGTTTGTTGTGTTGTATTTCTAGTGTCGTGTTATCATCGCTATCTGTCTTTCTCTCGTCTACCTGTTCACCTCTGTCCTGTTTTGGTCAGTGCCCTCTGTATTCTCTGAGTTGGTGTTTACACTGTGGGTGTTGTTCTCATGGAAAGTTATGTAAGGTAACCCTTGGTTAATTGTTACTCTTCCTACGTCTTCCCCATCCTTACTAACTTTGACATTGCCCTTGGTGAAGGTCACCTCAATCCAGATTCCTTGCTAAGTTTTATTGCGGCTAGGATGTTGTGGGGTATCTCCGGGACTAACAGTACCCCTCTATTTTCCCTAAGCCTGGTAACATGACTGTTCCTTTGCCCGTTACTCTGACCTGGTTTTGATCTGCGACTTTGATAGAAAATTCCTCCCTCTTGAAATGTGAGAGTAGTTTCTGGTTGTAGGTGGTATGGTTGGAGGCTCCCGAGTCCAGGAGCCATGAGCTGGTGCCTTTGTCTTGGTGTGTGGTGTGTGTGTGTTCCCCTATCCCATATAGAGATCCTGTCCTGCTGTCGCGTGAGCTGTCTCTGTTCCCCCTCTTATCCCTGGGAATGGGTGAGTCTCTACGCCTATATCTTTCTTCGGATGTGTGTCTTTCCGTCTGCTTGTGCCTATGCTCTGGCCTGCCTCTCTCCTATAGCTCTTGGGGCAGTCCCTCTTGATGTGTCCCCTTGACCCGCAGATGTAGCACTCTGGTGTGTTGTGTTGTTTCTCTTGGAAGACTACCCTCTTCTCACTCTTATGTTCTCTGGGAGGGCCGGGGCGGCTCCTCCTCAGATTGTCTTCGGCTATGAGCTTGTTGGATAGCTTCTCTACTGATAACATTCCTAGGCTGATGGTGTCTAAATGTGTTAAGAAGCTATTCCATGAATAATCTAAAGAGTTGATTATTACGCTTTTCATTATCTGGTCGGAAATAACTTCTCCCCTAAGGTGCAGCTCTGCCCTGGTACCGCTCAAGGACACTAGGTGTTCACTCATGGGGGTCCCTGGCTTGAGCCTGGCGGAAAAGAAATCCTTGGAAATTTGGGTGGTGGTGGACACACTCTCACTGTAAAACAACCCAAACATTTTTCCTATAATTTCTGACACGGTTAGGTTATGGCCTATACAGTGGTAAATTGTGGGGGATATACTGGCAATTAAGAGGTAGAACGCCTTATGGTGCATGCAATCCAGTTCTAAAGTCCATGGTCTCTCTGGGGGGTCATTAATAAAATGAGACATATTTTCTTTCAGGAAAATAACCTGGAGCTGCTGTGACCACTCTAGGATATTACCCCCATCCATCCTCAACTTGGGAAAGTCAACGGGTAAGTTTCCAGTACCACTAGTAAAATTACTTACTGCTGGCTGCTGTCCATGGTTTCTTATGTGCCTGTAGGAACAGTAAGGCATGGGCACGCTTGGCGGCAATTTAAAAGTCCCGCTTTGTAATTTTTTTCTTTTTTCTTCCTCTAGGCGGAAGAGCGCATGCGCGAAGTCCATTTCAGCTCCGCCGTCGTCGAGGAAGGACCTGTTTGCCGTAGCTCCGCTGTAGAGGCCTCTGCCGGTCGGGTAGGCCTCGGCTTCGGCCTTGGGGGTCCAGGTGTGCTCCGGAAGTCGTCGTCCAGCGGCTGCATCTCCGGAGCGAAGATCCTGGCGGCGTTGGGGCTCCGGCGACGGCTGTAAGTAGCTGCCCCAATCCACGCGGTCCGGGGTGTGCGGCCTGGGCGATCGGAGGCGCGGTGTCCCTGGGGTGCGTAGGTGGGCTGGCGAGCAGTCACGGGCGTCGGTGGCTCTCGGGTGGGCGCTTCGTCGCCCCTCTCCCCGTCTTCCCTTTTGTTTTGGCCCCTCCGGCCTCTCCTTAGTGATTTTGAGGCCTGGGCCGAAGGCGGCGGCAAGGGTCTTCATGGCCCTATCCACTTGCCGCTCGCTGGGGGTGTACCAGGGGTCGGAGTCGGATTCGGTCCCCTCCCCCTGGTCACTTTCATCGTGGGTCATGGTCCGGCATTTTTCGCGCGCCGGCCATTTTGAATTCTGTCCATCGATTGGTTGGCGGTCGGCCATCTTGTCCGACCACGTGGACAAAGATGGCCGCCGTTTCAAAATTTGAGCGGGGCTTTGGGGCTCGGTGGCCGTTGGAAGTGCCCCTTTGGGCGATCCACTCACCGAGTCCAGCTCTTCGAGTTCGGAGTCCGAGTCTTCTTCGCCCCTTGCCACCTCGCGGTCGATTATGAAGCTCCGCAGGTCGGTGAGGAGGTTCTTGTCGCCGGCTCGCTCCTTCAACAGTTGCAGGACGTCGAGTCGCAGCTTCTCTTCTTCTTGGTCGTGGTGGGCCCTTTTCCCTTTTTCGATCTCCCCCTTTTCTTCCATCGCGGTGGCTTTGGGGGTGGTTGAGGTTCCTGCTTTCCCTGGTGAGTCCGATGGGTTGCCTCCCGTTGCTTCGGGGGTGTCGCCATCCTGCAGGTGGGTATGGGTTCTTGTCTTGTGTCTCGGGATCTCTGGGCCTTACCACCATCCTCTGCTACCAATTTGTTACAAGGTTGGTGGATCAGGCCCAATGAAGAGACTTGAGTCAGTATATAAAATCTCTTTCTTTTATTTGCAGGTTCATCATATCATCATTTGGTTACATCAAGATCTGGGGAACATGGAGGAGTGTGCCCACCTTTTATACCTGTGGGCGGGGAATCAGGTAAGGAGGAGTCTATGGGAGGAGCTGACCAGGTGGGTGTCTGGGTTAACCCTTTCACTACTGAGCTATAGCTGATCCCTGGTATAGTCAGAGCATTTACACCTGACAGTAAAATATGTTAACCCAGCCATCAGAATTACGGCTGGTGTCAAGTGAGTATACGGCCCCTTTGTTCGTACATCATGGTTTATATTTTAGCATAAGGTCTAAACCAACCTATCTTTATTATGGTTTAGAGATTACACCCATTTTGGTAGCAAATCATGGCTTAGTTCAAAGAATAAAAATTATCTAGGTTTGTAAATCACGGCTTATGGTTTAGCCTGAAGGGCAAACTTATTTGGGTTTGTTCCGTAAACCACAATAAAACCACAGTTTAGGATTTAGCATAGTGTTTCTCCACTTTGCTGGCTGGGGAATTCTGGGAGTTGAAGTCCACCCATCTCAAAGTGGAGAAACACTGTTGTAGCCTATTTCATGAACCCATTTTGAGGGTCCCAGACATATTCTGCCCCCAGACCCACAAACCTCGCCCCTCTTCTCCCCCCCCCCCCAATTTTTCTACCTACCAATGAACGAGGCAGGTTCCTCCTTGCAGCCGACAGGAATGAATGAAATTGATGCATTTCTTAAAATGCTGCTTGCTGGATGGAGAGAGAATTGGGAGTAAGCAAAACCCCGATATTTTAAAAGGTTTATGATGCTTCGAAAGAAAACTCTGGCTATATGCAGTCCTCCACTTACAACTATCCATTTAGTGACCGTTCGAGGTTGCAACAGCGCTGAAAAAAGTGACTTATGACCCCTTTTTCACACTTACGACCATTGCAACATCCCCGTGGTCACGTGATCCAAATTTGGACGCTTGGCAACTGGCATGGACTTACGACGGTTGCAGTGTCCAGGGGGTCATGTGATCATCTGGACCCCTTTAAAGATGTGAGGACTACAATTCCCAGAATCCCCCAGTCAGCCAAGCTGGGCTGGGGAATTCTGGGAGTTGAAGTCCGCACATCTCAGAGTATCCAGAACTGGAAATTGAAGTCCACAAATCTTGAAGTTGGGAGTTCAAGTCCTCCATGTTTTAAAGCCAACGTGCTGGATGGGGAATTCTGGGAGTTGTAGTCCATGCCTCTTAAAATGGCTGAGGTTGAGAAACACTGCATTACAGCAACATCCGTCACAAGAAGGTTGAACAGCGCGAAGAACCAGAGTCTCCGATCTATTCTACCGCCATTTTACCTGGATGATGACGGAATCAATCTGGATTATGTTCTAGGAGTGGTATAGGGGCCTAGAGGTGGAGCTCTCACCTCACAAATCAGGAGTTCGATCCTAGGTAGAGGCAGATATTTCTCTCTCTGGGCACACTGAGAATATATCTGCTGAACAAAACTCCGCACTGGAGACAGGGACGGCATCCGGCCATTAAAACTCTCTGCTAGCTCTATTCAGTTGCCCAGACTCCACCCCGCAAGGGATTATGGGGTCGTTTAAAAGAAGATGATGAATCTAGATTATGTTTTAATGGACCCCACTATCTTTCCTCATTAAAAAGAATAAAACATGGCTGAAAAATAATAAATAAATACTTACATGTTGGCCTCAGGTGTGTCTGGCAGGACAATCCGAAGGTAAGTGATTCCCTAGAAAAGACCATGAATATCGTTGAGGAACATCTCCAGAACCTGAAATCAACTTCCGAAGTCCAACAGATCTTCTCACTTTGACAGTCTTTAGGTATCTCTGACTTTTTTTTTTTTTTTTAAATTTGATTTATATGCCGCCCTTCTCCGGAGACTCAGGGCGGCTTACAGTGCGCTAAGCAATAGCCTTCATCCTTTTGTATATTTATAGAAAGTCAGCTTATTGCCCCCACAATCCGGGTCCTCCTTTTACCTACCTTAGAAAGGATGGAAGGCTGAGTCAACCTTTTTTTTATTATTTTAATTTGATTTATATCCGGCCTTCTCCAGAGACTCAAGGCGGCTTACAATGCGTTAAGCAATAGCCTTCATACTTTTGTATATTTATACAAAGTCAGCTTATTGCCCCCACAAACTGGGTCCTCATTTTACCTACCTTAGAAAGGATGGAAGGCTGAGTCAACCCTGAGCCTGGTGAGATTCGAACTTGCAGTAATTGCAAGCAGCAGTTGTTAATCACAATGCTATCAGTCTGCTGAGCCACCAGGCCCTCCCTCTTTCCCTCCCTCCCTCCCTTTCTTTCCTTCTTTCTTTTTTCCTCCCTCCCTCCCTTCTTTTTCTTTCTTTCTTTCTTTCCTTCCTTTCTCTTTTCCTTCCTTTTTCTTTCTTTCCCTCCCTCCCTTTCCCTCCTTCCCTCCCTTCTTTATCTTTCCTTCTTTCTTTTTCCTCCTTCCCTCCCTTCTTTTTCTTTCTTTCTTTCTTTCTTTCTTTCTCTCTCTCTTTCTTTCCCTCCCTTTCTTTCCTTCTTTCTTTTTCCTCCCTCCTTCCCTTCTTTTTCTTTCTTTCTTTCTTTTCCTTTTCCTTTCTTTTCCTTTCTTTCCGTCCCTCCCTCCTTTCTTTCCTCCTTCCCTCCCTTCTTTCTCTTTCCTTCTTTCTTTTTCCTCCCTCCCTCCCTTCTTTTTCTTTCTTTCTTTCTTTCTCTCTCTCTCTCTTTCTTTTTTTTTTTTTAAATTTGATTTATATGCCGCCGGGTCCTCAATTTACCTACTTTAGAAAGGATGGAAGGCTGAGTCAACCTTGAGCCTGGCGAGATTCGAACTTACAGTAATTGCAGACAGCTGGTGTTAATAACAGGGTGCATTAAACCACTGTACTACCAAGGCTCTTGACTTCAATATTACCTTGTCACCTCTAGCTAGCATTAGTGCAGGGGCTGGGGATGATGGGAAGCATGATCCCATCAGAGAAAGCCATCATGAGGATTGAAGATAATTCCAACCTCTTTCTATGTTCTCCATAGATTGCAACAGGGAGACAAATAGGTAGTCCTCCACTTAAAACCATTCATTTAGTGACAGACACTGAAAAAAGTAACTTAGGACCGTTTTTCACACTTACGACCGTTGCAGCACCCTATGGTCACGTGATCAAATTTCGGATGCTTGGCAACTGGCTCCTATTTACAATGGTTGCAGGATCTCCTTTGATGACCTTTCAACCAGCAAACTCAACGGGGAAGCCAGATTCACTTAACAACCGTGGCAAGGAAGGTCGTAAAACGGGGCAAAACTCACTTGTCTCGTTTAGCAACGGAACTTTTTTGAGGTTCAGCTGTGGTTGTAAGTTGGAGTGGTGCGGTGGCCTAGAGATGGAGCTCTCGCCTCACGATCAGGAGGTTGTGAGTTCGATCCTAGGTAAGGCAAATATTTCTCTCTTTGGGCACACTCAGAATATATCTGCTGAACAAAACTCTGCATTGGCGACAGGAAAGGCATCCGGCCAGTAAAACACTCAGCTCCATTCAGTTGCCCAGACTCCATCCCAATGCAAAGGATTATGGGATAATTAAAAGATTATGATGATGATGATGATGATGAGCTGTGGTTGTAAATTGAGCATTTGATGCAATAGAGCTTCCAGTGGGGCTCAGTTCCAAGGACCAACATCCATTCTGCTGCCTCCAGCTTGATGCAGTATCTCGGGTTGTCACGCTAGACGCCCCTCCCCCCACCAGTTGAAACCCCCCCTCCCCCTTACCGGAATGAAGGGCTGTGGGGACTCGTGAATGGAGACGATGTGGGTGATTTCGTTCCTGCTCAGCTGATCGAGGTCTTTGGCATCTAAAAGAGAAGGAGGAGGAACAGAGAGCCATTGTTACAGACGTCCTTCCCTATTCTACGCAGATGTTCTCGGCGCGCATCCTGCAGAAACGCTGACACGCACCAGCACACGGAATGTCCCATGTGCACGGAGGCCTCTGGTGTCTCAATCCACCGTAAGGTCCTGAAGCAGGCATAAGAATAGGAATAGAAACAGAATAGAATAGAATAGAATTTGAAATAATTAGAATAGAATAGAATAGAATAGAATAGAATAGAATAGAATAGAATAGAATAGAACAGAACAGAACAGAATAGAACAGAATAGAATAGAACAGAATAGAATTTGAAATAATTAGAACAGAGTAGAGTAGAATAGAATAGAATAGAATAGAACAGAATAGAAATTGAAATAATTAAAATAGAATAGAATAGAAATTGAAATAATTAGAATATAATAGAATTTGAAATAATTAGAATAGAGTAGAGTAGAATAGAACAGAATAGAAATTGAAATAATTAGAACAGAGTAGAGTAGAGTAGAATAGAATTTGAAATAATTAGAATAGAGTAGAGTAGAATAGAATAGAACAGAACAGAACAGAATAGAATAGAATTTGAAATAATCAGAACAGAACAGAATAGAATAAAAAAGAACAGAACAGAATAGACTAGGAATAGAATAGAATAGAAATTGAAATAATTAGAATAGAATAGAAATTGAAATAATTAGAGTAGAGTAGAGTAGAGTAGAGTAGAGTAGAGTAGAGTAGAGTAGAGTAGGACAGGACAGGACAGGACAGGACAGGACAGGACAGGACAGAACAGAACAGAACAGAACAGAGCTGTAAGGGAGCCTGAAGGTCTTCTAGTCCAGCCCTCTGCTCAAGCAGGAGAACCTATACCAGAGGTCTTCAAACTTGGCAGCTTTAAGACGTGTGGACTTCAACTCCCAGAATTCTCCAGCCAGCACTGAGAGAGAGAGAGAGAGGGAGGGAGGGAAAGACACCTAGCTGGCTTCAGTGGCTAAAGTGGGACTAGAACTCACTGGCTCCTAGTGATTGGGCCAAAGTCCGATGATGATGATGATGATGATGATGATGATGATGATGATGATGATGATAATAATAATAATAATAATAATAATATTAATAATAATAATAATAATACTCGGAACAGCTTACATCCTCCGACGATACCTTAACAGTTCCTAGGTCCTTGGTTAGGACTCGAGCTGCTGAGCTATTAACCAGCCTCAAAGGCTGTGAATCTCACTAAAGATTAAATAATAATAATAATAATAATAATAATAATAATAATAATAATAATAAAATAAGGGGCATGCATAAGCACACCAGCGTGCCTATCATCCCCGTCCTAATGTTCTCTTTTATTCGTATCCTTTTCATGTATTTATAATTATGCTTACACTTTCCTGGTTGAACATGTTGTATGCACATTACAATTCTACACTTTCATCAAAGTTAGGCAAGAAAAGAATCATGTCTCCACTTGGGAAAAACCACATTTTAGAACTAAAATGCAGTAGAGGTTGTCTTGTCCTTTCTCCAATTGAGTCTACAGGTAGCCATCAACTTACAACCATTCATTTTAGCAACCATTGAAGTTACAATGCCACTGGAAAAAAGTAACATTCAATCAGTCATCGCACTTACAACCATAACAGCATCTCCATGGCCATGTGATCAAAATTTGAGTCCCTGGCAACTGGCATGTGTTTTACAACCATTGCAGCTTTCTAGGGTCATGTGATCACCTTCCTAGGGTCATGTGATCTTCCCAGATGGCTTCCGACAAGTCAATGATGGGAAGCTGGATTTGCTACACAACTGCATGATTCACTTAACAACTGCAGTGATTCACTTAGCAACCATGGAAAAAAGTTCTAAAATTGGGTGTGATTTACACAATGAATTGAGGACTACCTGTATCAGAGAGTGAAAATGTGGTGAATAGAATGATTGCTGGCAATATTTTCGGAATGAATATGCATGACCCCCCCTGTGATCCCTCTTTTGCAACCTTCTGACAAGCAAAGTCCATGGGGGGAGCCAGATTCACTTAACGACTGCGGCAAGAAAGGTGGTAAAACGGGGCAAAACTCACTTCATAAATGTCTCACTTAACAACAGAAATGTTGTGGTCATAAGTCGAGGACTGCCTCTAATGTTCTTGGAATGATTTTTTTTTTTTTTTTTTGAGAACTTAATGCAGGGGTGGGCAATTTTGCCAAAGGGGCCATAAGAGACTCTGGGACTTTTGAGACTTCCGGTTTGGCGACACGGCGAGACAGTCAGGGAATTAGTGGGCTCCGATGAGCTCCGCGAAAACCCCGGCTGACGAACCGCTGACGATGGGTCTTCAGACCAGAACCGTCCTGCAGGGATGGGGAAGAAAGAGAGGCGCCTCAGACGACCAAAAGGAACAGGCAAGTTCCTTGAAGGTCAGAGGAAACTCTCTGTGAATTGGCGGCGGGGGACGGCAGCCATGGCGGCTGCCACGAAGCTGGGACAACCGGACTAAGTATAGAGCTGGAGAGAGGAGAGGAACGGAACGGAATTTTTTTGAAGCCAGGTGAGTGACAGCCAATCCAGGCTTGAAATAACAACAAGAGAAACATCTTACAATTATAAGACCCCTAATGAGGTAATAGCGGCTAAGGAGCATGGGGGCAAAGAAGATTTTGAAATGTAACTTTAAAGAGATAAAAACCCAATAGAAAATTGATTTCTGAACAAACTATTTGGAAACTTTAAACAATTAGATATGGGTCAAAGGATTGGAAAGAAATAAAGAGATCCTTTTTTTTTCCCCTTTCTTTTTTAAATTGCAAGAAAAACAAGAGACTCTGGGACTTTTGTGAAGTTGCGAAGGTGTGTAGGCACGCAGACACACACACGTGTGAATTGTTAAAAAAATAGTTGCCTTCAAAATACAAAGCAATGGAGTTTTATTGCCTGCATGGATGTATCCTTACTTACATTTGATTTCTAATTTTTGATTGACCTCACCTGGCCGGATAGGGATAGCCAAAGGGCTGGATGTAGCCCGCCGGGCACCAAAATGCCCAGGGTTGCCCTTAGGGCAGGGGTCTCCAAGTCTGGGAACTTTCACACTTCAAGCATGGCTGGGGAATTCTGGGAGTTGAAGTCCACAAGTCTTATAGTCGCCAAGTTTGGAGACCCCCTGCTCTAGAAATAAATTTTGTAATTTCATATATATTTACTGCAAAGGAAATTATCGATCAATCAATCAATCAATCAATAAGAATAGAGCTGGAAGGGACCTTTGAGGTCTTCTAGTCCAGCCCCCTGATCAAGCAGGAGACCCTATACCATTTCAGACAAATGACTGTCCAGCCTTTTCTTAAAAACCTCTAGTGATGGAGGTTTCTGGTGGCAAGCAGCTCCATTGGTTACGGTAATTGTTCTCATTGTTGGGAGCTTTCTTCTTAGTTCCAGGTTGCTTCGCTTTTTGATTATTTAGAAGAGAAGAGAGAACTGTAGAGAAGAGAAGAGAAGAGAAGAGAAGAGAAGAGAAGAGAAGAGAAGAGAAGAGAAGAGAAGAGAAGAGAACTGTAGAGTAAAGAAGAGAAGAGAAGTGTAGAGGTGTAGAGAAGAGAAGAGAAGAGAAGAGAAGAGAAGAGAAGAGAAGAGAAGAGAAGAGAAGAGAAGAGAAGAGGAATAGAGTTGAAAGGGACCTTGGAAGTCTTCTAGTCCAGTCCCCTTCTCAAGCAGGAGACCCTATACCATTTCAGGCAAATGGCTGTCCAGTCTCTTCTTAAAAGCCTCCATTGATGGAAGCACCCACAACTTCTGGTGGCAAGCTGTTCCACTGGTTAATTGTTCTCACTGTTAGGAAGTTTCTCCTTAATTCCAGGTTGCTTCTCTCCTTGATGAGTTTCCATCCGTTGTTTCTTGTCCTGCCTTCAGGGGCTTTGGAGAATAAGTTGACCCTTTTCTTCTTTGGGGCAGCCCCTCAGATATTGGAAGGCTGCTATCATGTCCCCTCTAGTCTTTCTTTTATCTAGACAGACCTAAATTGGCCACTTCCTTTTTCTATTTCTTTTTATTCTTTCTTGGAATTTGCAGCCGTCCAAGGAGAAATCTCTGCTCCTTTGGCCTTTTGGTCCCATCTGCATCTTTCAGCAAACCCCCCCCCCGACTTTTTGCCCTTGGGGGACCCAGTGGTTGTCCGAGGGGCTGGAAAAGGCTGTGGCACATGGTGCTTCTTGCACCGCAAAGGGGGGTTGGTGTGGGATGCCAGGGCTTCGTCACCGCTGAATTTTCCCTAAATTTTCCCTGCTTTTCCTCCCGCAGCAACTGAAGGAGCTGCCGCTGCAGACCACACCTGACCAGGACAGCATCCTGAGCCTCTCGGCCCGCTGCCTCCTGCTCACCTGGCGGGACAACGAAGAGCTCATCCTTCGGATCCCCACCCACGAGATTGCCGCCGCTTCCTACCTGAGGGACGATGCGCTGCACCTGCTGGTGTTGAAGACAGGTGCACGAGGAGGAGGAGGAGGGAGGAGCATCAGGGGGGAAGGTGGGCGGGAAGGAGAGACCCCTGACTCGCTTGGGTTGGCCCAGGGAGAGGTTCCTTTTGATTGGCTGCGTCTCTTGCCTGTCCTAACTCTTTCTGCCCACGCCCCTAATTTGCAGGTGTTTTGGGTCAGGATCTGGATCAGGTTAAGATCCAGAACTTGCTCGGGTTTCAAATCAGGACAGTTTCCAGATCCAAATCTGGATCCAGGCCCAGGTCCTCATCTAGATCCTGGGCCAGATCTGGACCTGAACCTGGATCCAGACTTGAATCTGGACCTAGATCTGGAACTTATCCTGATCTGAGACCTGAGCAGGTCCTGATCTAGATCCTGAACCAGATCTGGGTCCAGGTCCAGGTCCAGGTCAAGACAGAGATTCAAGTCAAGGTCTAGAGTCAAGTCTAGATCCAGGCAAAGATCTAGATCCCGGTCCAGGTCTAGGTGTAGTGTAGAATGAGGACCAGATTCAGAATCGGTCCAGATTCATATTTAGATCTGGATCCAAGTCGTGATCCATTATCTTGACCCAAGTCTGGGTCCGGATCTAGATGGACATCCAGATCTGGATCCAGGTCCTGGTCCAGGTTAAGACAGAGATTGAAGTCAACGTCTAGGTCCAGATCTAGATCCAGGCATAGATCTAGATCTCAGTCCAGGTCCGGGTGCAGTCTAGAATGAGGATCAGGTACAGATGCAGATCTGGATCTAGATCCTGAGCCATTATCTACACCCATGCCTGGATCCAGATCTAGATCCAGGTCCAGATCTGGATTCAGGTCCAGGTCTGGATCCAGATCTATGTCAAGTTCTAGAATCAGGTCCATATCTAGATCCATGTAAAGATCTAGATCCTGGTCCACGTCCAGGTCCTGTCTACAATGAGGACCAGATCTAAATCCAAGTCCTGATCCAGATCCAGATCCAACTCTGGGTCCAGATTTAGATCCGGGTCCAGATCCAGATTCAGGTCCCAGTCCAAAATCAGGAGCAGCTCGAGGTCCAAGTCAGGTCCAGGATGAGGCTGAGGATCATCATGATCTTCATCATCATCATCAACAACAGCATCAGGATTAGGCCCAGATCCAGGACTTCTTCTCCTGCAATTCCCCGCTCGAAACGTCAGATTAAACCATTGCAGACAGAGTCCCGACCCCACCCCAAATCCAATCCCGGGGTGTGACGATGTCATGGTAAGGTGACCAACTTTTTTACAATGAGAAGGAGTGTGAAGTTTCCGAAAGATGCCTTAATTAATTCATGAGCCATGAGCCGAACTTCAAAAGAAATACAGTCATTTATTAGGAGCACCATTTCGGCAATATTCGGATGCAGTTAGAACTAATCCCACGTAGATTTACGTTCCCCTGTGACCCTGTCTCTCCCCTCCTCTCTGGCCATGTCATAAATCACATTCTCCAATTAACCACTTTGGCTGGCTGTGAAATCCAACACCCTCCTTCTGACTGCGGTCAGGAAGAATGTATGGAATGCACTTCAGTTAGGGAAATCAATCAGCTCTATCAGTTCTCCCTCCCTCCTGCTCATGGCAACTTGAAAGCTTTGCAAGTTGACATTCGGCTCCCCTCACTTCCCGAGGGCGACCTGCGCAAAGCAAAAGGAGGACACAAATAAATTGAAGAAAAATGTGTGCGTGTGTGCCATGTCGTGTTTTGGTAAGAAGTAAACAAAGCCACTTGCGTGCGGCGCACTCTCTCAAAACAATTCTCCCGTGCGGAGCGCATGTACCGAGCGTTGACAAATCGTCATGTCAAATATAAATACGTCACATCGCACGCAACGGATAGGATCGGCATCAATCGAATACGGAGATTTACAGATTAGTCTTCAAATATCGAAAAGGAGGACATGTAGGAGGACACTTTTCGAGAGAGGACAGAACTTACAAAAGAAGGACTGTCCTCCCTAAACGAGGACGATTGGTCACCTTACATGGGAAACTCAGGCCAAGAAGGTGATAAATGCAAGTCTCAAGAAGGCAATGCTGCTTCAGGGATGGGAATAAGACAGCTGCTCCAGCAAGAGTGAAATGTAAAATTTGTTACTACCGGTTCTGTGGGCGTGGCTTGGTGGTGGTGGGCTAATGTGACTGGGTGGGCGTGGCCAACTTTTTTTTTTAACTTTTCAAAGTTTTTTCTAATGCTTTGAAAAGCCTCTCTGCCGATCAGGCAACTCAGCTGGGATCGTCAGAGACTTTTCAAAGCATTTTTTTCACCACCTCTTCAGCCAAGAGGTTGCAGAAAATAAGCCTCTGATGATCCCAGCTGAGCCGCGCGATCATTAGAGGCTTTTTTTTTTTTTACTTTTAAAAGCATTTTTTCGTCGGAAGAGGTTGTGGGGAAAATGCTTTTAAAAGTAAAAAAAAAAAGCCTCTGATGATCCTGAGGCTCAGCTGGGCATGATGGGTGGTGGGGTGCAGGGATTTTTGCTACCAGTTCTCCGAACCACCCGCCGCCATCGCTACTGGATCGGGCGATCCGGTCTGAACCGGAAGCATTTCACCCCTGTGCTTCCTAGAAAGGAATGAGTTTTACGGAGAGGAGGAGGAGGAGGACATTTACTCAGCCTTTGGTTTTCTACCTGCCTTATGCTTATAGAATAACAGAATTGGAAGGGACCTTAAAGGTCATCTAGTCCAACACCCCGCTCAAGCAGGAGACCCTACAGAAAGAGGAGGAGGAGGAGAAGGAGGACTATGGGGTCCTTGGGGCTCTCTGAGCTGGCTTGTTTTGTTGAAGACATTTCATTACCTAACTAGGGAACGCCATCAGTGCTAGAAAGGAATGAGTTTTACGGAGAGGAGGAGGAGGAGGAGGACTGTGGGGTCCTTCCTGCTGGTTTCCTTGCAGAAGTTTCACGACCCAAACTAGCTAACATTGTCATTCTTGATCCTCCTTTTCTTCTCTTTCTCCCTGTGCCAGGCCTGGGCGTCGACCCGGTTCCCGCAGGTGGCACCCTGGATCTTTACCCCGGAATCCCGCAACCGGACAAGAAATATCCTGCAGGAGCCGCTGCTGAGAAGAGACCCACGGACTCCCGGCAGTTGGGCTGCCCCATGGAACGGCGCCACACCATCTGCAGCCTGGACTGGAGGATGTCTCGAGGGGGCTCCGAGGGACGTCCGAGCGGCGGAGGGAGCCTGGAGCGCAAGCAGGCCACGGGCAGCTGGGAGAAGAGACAACGGACCAGCAGTGGCACCGGTAGAGCCTTCGGCAGCTGGGAACCCCGCCATGCCCACAGCGGCAGCTGGGAGCGGCGGCACGGCAGCCAAGCCGGGGGCAGCTGGGAGCGCGGGAAAACCTACGGCAGCTGGGAACACCGCCACACGGGCAGCAACCCCTTGGACCCCAAGGAACCCTGCCCGGATGCCTACTGCAACCTGGTCATCTTGGCCGTGGCCAACCGAGTGAGTGTGCCAGCCCTGCAGCAAGAGGGGTGCTAGAGGCCATCCAGACGGTTCCCCCACGCATGAAGCGGGGATGAGGATGGTGAGGGGGGCAAAACTTTGGTTTGCTTTCAGTTTGGAAACAAAGGGTGCACCTTAAAACATTGTTCAACCATTTTAAGATGGGGGGCTCAGAATTCCCAAGCCAGACATGCAGGAGGCTGTGAGTTCTAATCCTGCCTCAGGCACAAAAGCCGGGTGGGTAGCTTTGGGCCAATCACCAGGAGACGGTGAGTTCTAGTCCCACCTTAGGCAGGAAAGCCAGCTGGGTGACTTTGGGATTCACCAGGAGACGGTGAGTTCTAGTCCCGCTTTAGGCATTTAAGCTGGCTGAGTGAGTTTGAGCCAATCACCAGGAGACGGTGAGTTCTAGTCCCACCTTAGGCAGGAAAGCCAGCTAGGTGACTTTGGGACAGTTACCAGGAGATGGTGAGTTCTAGTCCCACCTTAGGCAGGAAAGTCAGCTGGGTGACTTTGGACCAATCACCAGGAGACGGTGAGTTCTAGTCCCGCCTTAGGCATGAAAGCCAGCTGGGTGACTTTGGGCCAATCACCAGGAGACGGGGAGTTCTAGTCCCGCCTTAGGCAGGAAAGTCAGCTGGGTGACTTTGGACCAATCACCAGGAGACGGTGAGTTCTAGTCCCACCTTAGGCATTTAAGCTGGCTGAGTGAGTCTGAGCCAATCACCAGGAGACGGTGAGTTCTAGTCCCGCCTTAGGCATGAAAGCCAGCTGGGTGACTTTGGGCCAATCACCAGGAGACGGGGAGTTCTAGTCCCACCTTAGGCAGGAAAGTCAGCTGGGTGACTTTGGACCAATCACCAGGAGACGGTGAGTTCTAGTCCCACCTTAGGCATTTAAGCTGGCTGAGTGAGTCTGAGCCAATCACCAGGAGATGGTGAGTTCTAGTCCCGCCTTAGGCATGAA